ATCAATGTCGAATTTACCCCAACACTGACTAAGGTTCAAGCCATTATCATAGACATGAGTTGGGAGTGTACTCCCCTTGGTTACAACTTATGTTCTCCCTGATAATCACATGAGCATCAATCACTATTAATCATCTTGTAAAAACTTATTTAGCTAAATACATCTTGCAGCACCACATCACTTCGTAATATGACACAGGCCTAACTGATTTTAATAACTTATAACCACTATATCTCAATTAAATCGTATTCCGCCTTATGATAAACTGCATACTTGCAACTAACTTGTATGCCCAATCAGCCGGCAAGTATAAATATGCATAAATAGTCTATGGCAACGCAGAACATTGAGTCTAGAGCATGTCTCTTACGAATACACTCATGTTTAACGATTTGTTCCTAGCTATCTGTCCAAAATTCATATAATCATCACTCACGTATTTAAATTTTGTTTTGATAACCATTCATGTGTATTAGTAGTATTACTAAATTCTATCACGGTCAAGTAAAAATGAGGTTGAGAAAATCTCCCCGTAACTAAATAAACCGTATCAAACTAACTGGAACACTAGTTGGAATTCTTTCCATGGTAATACTTTTGTTCCTTCAGTTAGCCTACTAATACAGATGCAATTGGAAATCAATTCATATGGACAACTTACCGGCATAATTGTAAATTGATTTCATAATTTAAACCAAAACTAATACCAATATTAACATTTCTACAATATTCATTACTTTAATATTTCTAAACACAAAATACTTACTACCTATACGTTAAGTTATTAACCAACGGCTATTAACACGCATCGTTTTATTATTATTATTGTAATCCCATTTTTTATAGCTCAAATAATCTTCACCCAAATAGTCATTTCAAGCGTTTTAAGCATGAAGGCAGATTTTTTAAAATTATTACATGTATTTCCCGACCAGATGCTGCCGCCTTCTTTTTGATTTATCTTTCAGCTTACCGATACCCGGAGGATTCTTTCTAGTCTTGGTAACCTTCAACGCACGACAATCCCATCCAATTTGGTATCGAACCAACATCACGTTGATTCTGGTGGGAGAGTAGTGTAGTGGCATTGAACAATAACCGCACAATCCACAAAGCTGTGAACACGAGACTACTCAGAAAATAGATATTCAATATTTAACGCGGAGAAATACCTAACAATGGAGAAGGCGCGGGGAATGAATTGAATGGACTGGAGTTGATCGAGTGGCATGGCTCGTCCATGCAGGCGTGGTCCATGCTGGATGTTACCTTATATAATCTATTCATATTAAATATATTGTTCTTTCTCTAGCCTAAGCTTGTTCTTCATCATGTATTGGTAATTGATACGATACAGTGAGTTGGTGTAGTCGATGATGTGACTTGCACGTAAGATCTTATAGATTAGGCAGTTATATCATGACAAGTCGACAAATTTAGGATTAGGTCTATTATTAGAGCAGCACTAATGTTATAGTAGACCATAATTCTACAAACATGCAGGTTGTTGACGTATATAAAAATTTAAAAATAATGAACATGACCAGAAAAATAATTTTAGAGTTAAGACTGCTTGTGAAACTTCAGGCAGGAATATGATGCGTTATAAACCTTCCGTAAGAAGTTACTGCATTTAGCTTAGTGACACTTACAAATATATGGCAAAAGCAACTGCAAAACATATACATGTTAAGTACAAAAAAACATCACTAAGTAAAATAGTTGAACTCGCCTGGGTTATTTTTGATTATATTATTCAGTGGACGACATATATATTGTAGATTCGTCATGATATAACTGCCTAATCTATAAGATCTTACGTGGAAGTCACACCATCGACTACACCAACTCACTGTATCGTATCAATTACCAATACATGATGTAGAACAAGGTTATGCTAGAGAAAGAACAATATATTTAATATGAATAGATTATATAAGGTAACATTCGGCAGAGACCACGCCTGCATGGACGAGCCATGCCACTCGACCAACTCCAGTCCATTCAATTCATTCCCCGCGCCTTCTCCATTGTTAGGTATTTCTCCGCGTTAAATATTGAATATCTATTTTCTGAGTAGCCTCGTGTTCACAGCTTTGTGGATTGTGCGGTTACTGTTCAATGCCACTACATATGTATCTGTGCCTTGGCATCACCCAGGCATCACGATGCTTTTGGAAGTATTTATCAGCAGCTGCCACACTCTAGATCACTCACATAATTTCTCTAAATCACTTTTAAGCTCAAAATTGACCCATATATTTCTTGTCATCCCGTATATTTCGATCTCCAAGACTATGAAAAAACCGACTTCAGTAACATTTTTGGAGCCTTTAAGTCCGTCCATACATTTCATAATAACACTCTTTTGTGAACAAACACTGTATGGTCAGTGAAACGTCAGTGGCCGTCACGTCAAATTGTCCAGCATTCAGGTCAACGAGAGTCGAACCCTACCTATCTAAGACAAATTCAATTTGCGCAGCAGATATGCCTTATTATCACGACTATATAGTGTGTGTTTAGCATGAACCACGAGATTTCACTCCATCCTAAACTACGATGTCAAATCATCCCAGTCCAACTCGAGTAGATAGCAATCTTTGACACAGATGACATACACTGCTGATCTTAAATACCAAAATAATATTTTCCTGGATGGAATCGAGACTGGTATAATCAGAACAAATGAGATGAGTTTTTCTGGGCAGATAATAAGAATCTAGACTTGATAGTGTAGAGGCTGTAGAAAACAAATTTACATAGCATTTTGTTGGTGAATTTAAATGGAGGATATGTACGAAGAAAAGGAAGTACATATTGGCTGTGTTCATCTGTTTTCGAGTAATTTCTTAAGTATAGTCATAATTTTAAGCCCTTGATCAAATAAAACATTTTAAACAATGCTACGCTGGCTACTCGAATAGCTCTGCTCCATGTTGTTGTTCACTGAAGCCTGGTTTAAGATGCAGCTTGAGCAAACTTTCTGTCAGTCAATGAAATCAGAAATGAACTGGAAAAAATTGAATTGCTCTTGAATACTAATAGCGGTCGACTAAGTTTGATGTAAATCAATCAACCACAGCTACAAAACTCAGTTGATTACACACAACAATTGTATTCAATGGATAAAAATTGTATTATGATCTCTTAAAAATTAATGACCATAAGGAACTGTGCCAATACCTTTACTTTTCACTCTCTCCATGGCAAACTTGTAAGCATTTCTTTAAACCATATCCCGATAATCAAATGTTGTTTCTCAGTAACTAAAAGCAATTTATTTACATAGTGAAGTTCGAGATGCATGCTGTCTGGCCAGCAAAGCACTTCAACGTTAGTATTAATGATTATAGAGCGTTACACGACGATTGAAATCCTGTAGAAAGTGCTAAGAACACTTATACGTTAGTGAACCTAGAGGATCTCATGTGACCATTCGATTAAATGTATGCAACCAAAATTAAATAAATGTATATTTGGAGGTGATGTAGACGACATCGCTGATTGCCTTCATACCAGATTGATTCCCTTTTTTCTTCAAATCAGACTAATGTTATTAATACCACCGAGCGAACCGTTCCAACAGTCAAGTATCAATAGTCAGTATTACAGAAATATCGTCCTTGTGATCTGTTCCGCAATCATTGACGTTCGTTCATAACGGTGTAAGCGAGAATGGTGTACTGAAACGTAATATTTTATTAAAATCGCTTTGGAATCCAGTAAGCTGATGAGTGATGACTTTATTTTTGGTTGTTCGTAGTCGAAATGTTTCAGAAAGAGGAATCTGTCAGATAAAACACAACCCTTTCGCTTTAACAACATGTATTTATCAAATCTAAGATGTTCTACTGAACTTTGTTGAGCAAGCAATTATGTCATTCTATTTTGGGCATTGATGTGAGTTTATTCTAGTACACAAAGAGAACAGATTTGAACCCAAATGTAGCAGCATCTCGCATAATAACTTTATATGATAGTTACAATCCACACTCTGGGGATGGCTGTATATATTTGATCTTAAATAATGAATTATAATACTCTCCTATGTATGAGTATTTTTTGTGTCGAAAAAATTCATGTAGTCATGAATGCGACGGTTTACAAAACTACTTGTGATCCGAAATCTTCTTTAAAGTTGTGCAGATGACAATGACATTAAATTTAATACTTCGGAATGTAGAGTACTCCATCTGAGACATGTTACAGGCTACAAATAAAACTTAGCTCCCCTCTAAAGGCACCCCCGGTTGAAAAAGATCTAGGGAGTTTGGTATCCTACGATCTGAAGCCTTACGCTGACTGCGACAAAAGTGCCTTCCGAGCAAACATTGAACTGTTAAAGTTGGAGCACATTTTCAACCAGCCCGACCAAATAACTTTCCGCATAATCTTCAACAGACTTATTCGATTCCATTAAGAGTATGAAAACACTGTATTTCTTCAAACACCTCAAAATGATATGAACAATCTGGAACGTATCCAACAGCGAAAAATGAAATCAGTTTGGGGACCGAAATTCAAGTTTTATGAAGAGCACCTACAATCAAAAAACTTTTATCCAATGAAGTATGGGAGTTTTAGAGGTGACATCCCTATTACTTGTGGCATCCTTAATACTCTGTGCATCCCACCAATTAACTACTTAGTCTCATCAAAAACCTCAGGGTAACACCCAGACTCTCGAGACTCAACACAGCATGATGGACTGTAGTCACACATGCTACTCCTTAAGAGAGGTCAAATGCTGTAAATCATTGCCATCTGAGCTAGTTCAATTGACTTGCAAGGAGTTGTTTGAGAGAAAGCTCGACTTATTCTCAAGGACAAGAACAGTATCTTACTATGATATACCAAGTTTTTTCCTTTTCCTATTTTATCGTTAATATACCTAGATTACTACATAGAGGCATGTGTGACTCACTGCTAATAGATCCGACAGCCCGTCAAACGAAAGCTTCTATTCTAACCAGACCCATTTACCCCTTCACACCTTTAGCGGCGGAATGCTTGGATTGAAACGATACTTGAAGGTTAAATCATTTTCAGTATTCAGCTACATTATTCTAGTTGTAGACATGTAGAATATTATATTTCCAAGTAACTCAATTTGAAGAATATTTTTTATACTTCGCTAGGCGTTTGTTATTGTCCTAAATATTGACAACTTATAGATCTTTGACTTTAGTAATGGCTTTATTCAATTATATTTGTTTATTTCAGCATGAAATTTTCTGCACAAACACATGGAAGTTTGCACATACATGTAGACTCTTTCCGGCAAAGTTTAATCCTATTTAATGGTACTTTGACTTCTCAATAAGTAGGTGTTTCATAATGGGGAAATATCTCCCTATTTCGGGAAATTCCTGAAAGTTTTGGGGAAACCCTCAATACTTCTGCAGGATTTTGTGGATTTCCCCACACTTGTGGGGGAACTGCCTATCGTCATTGGCCTTTTGGAAATCACAAAATCGGGAGGTTGGGTTAATATCGAATGACTGTTCATTACAAATAATGAAGGATGATTCCCGTTGATTTAATGAAACTCGATTCTCATATGCAGTATTTATCGTTGGTTTGTTTTACGTTTTGCGTTTCTAACTTCGAGAGTAATTTGATAACCTCTACTCGTACACGCGCGCTTTTCGAACGGGAAGTTTAGTCCTAACGTGATTTGCATATATCAAACTTTTGCTGTGTTCTTACGCAACAAAAGTACCATTTCAGTTCTAAAGAATCTATCCTGAGCTATACGTTCGGTAGATTACTTTTTTTTGAGTTTCACTATATTTAATAGTTACCTGTGGTTTTGCCTCAGCTTACTATTCGGTTTTTTTTGTTTTTCACGTATAGACTAGTTTCAGTTTATATCACTCGTTTTGTCCATTTTTGTCCGTTTTCAGTGTGCATTTTAGTGTTTTTTTAAAAAGGTCTTAGGCTCTTGCAAGCATCTATAACATAGTTTGCTTCAACACCGTCATGAAAAACTCATGCAAACGTCCGGGATGCCGTTTTGCTGTCACAACTGGCATGCAGTGCGACAACTGCAAAGGTTGGTTCCACGAAGCATGCACAAATCTGACAGCAACTGCTTACAACAGACTCAGCAAGTCAGACCAAAAGTGGGTATGTGTCACGTGCAGCACGGACGCAGTAGTCTTGCTGAGTAACATCATTGTCCTACTGACAGGTCTTCGGAACAAGCTGTCAGTTAACTTGGAATACGATAGTAAAAAAACCGATATACAAACAAGAGCGCGCAACGGACTCAAAAATAGGGATGTCGATAGGTATACCATCGATGGAGCATCCATCAACACTAATGACGACGTGTCGAGGCTCAGTACCATCATTACGTCGACGGTACTAGACTCCCTAGGCAAACTCGGGTCTCCCAGCTCAGGGTCCCTGAACACAACAGTGGTTCCCAAAAACCCTGCAGGTGATTCGACCCACGTTAAGAGAGCCCAAAAGAACCAGGCATCACCGCCTAAGCCGAGCAACCCAAGTGTTGCTGCACGGAAAATAACTGGTGATTTAGTCGCACAGTCTACCCCCAAGACTGTTCGTCCGGTCAATAAAGAGCCCAAGATTCATAAACGCACACTGACCTCCAAACAACAAGTTATTAAACCTGAACCCATCGTGAAACCTGGTAAATTAACAACAGTTCGTGACGATTCTCTCATTATCATGAACCTCGTCGACAATCCTGACCTTCCTCTCAGTCTGCAGGATAAAAACGACAGGATGCTGTGGGGTGAATTGAACAAGAAGCTCGAACTTCCTAGAATAGAGCCTTTGACGGTCACCCGGCTCACTCGAGGAAAGGATTCTAAGCATCTAAATCACCCGAGGCTTCTCCGAGTAACACTTAAGAATGCTACCGACGTAGAGGACGTCTTGCTAGCAAGTCACTTACTGAAATCAGATGGTAACGTAAGAATATTGCCCGACATACCGTACTCTGAGCGCAATATCATACGAAACGTCCCTAAAGAATCTCGCGAGAAGTTTTTCCGCGGAAGAAACATAATTGTCCAAGGTATACCGGAAAATGCAGACCCTACTCAATCAAATTCTGACATCAGGGAATGGAAATTCATCAAACAGTCCTTGAGGCTCAAACACATACTGACTCAGCATGTGACGAGACTAGCCAAGAAGGACGGTGATCTTAGACCCCGTCTAATGAAGATAACCTTCCCATCTTCCCACATGGCGGCTGCAGTTCTGGAAGCATTTCGTGCTAATAGACGTCGATTGCCACCTGGAATCCACATGCACCCGGATAGGCCATACGAAGTCAGGACCAAGAACAAAGGCAAGCTGGAGCTGACCATTCCACTTGTGGACTGTCTAAACGATAAAAAAACGTGTAAAGGACAGGGCCTACCACCTCGGCAAACCTCATATAGGTGGGCTACCTGTCCATTCACATAAGGTTCATACAGAAAAACAGGACGAAGCTCACGCGTTCCAAATTGAAAGCATAAACTGCTTATATATGAACGCCGCGAGTCTACCAAACAAACTGGATGAACTACGTGAACTTAGCAACGCTAATAAGGCCCATCTGATAGGAATATCTGAAACCTGGATATCTTCTCAGTTCTCGGACCAAGAGTTAGCATTACCTGGGATGACTTTGTTCCGCAACGACAGAAAAATAGGAATTGGGGGCGGAGTAGCCATATACATAAGCTCTTGCTTGGAGGTGCACCAAGTTCACAACCTCGAGTTTAACAATCTTGAGGAATCCATATGGTGCTCTGTTAGATTGTCAAGTACTTCGAGGTGTCTAGTCGGAGTCATTTACAGGAAGCCAACTGCCAACATCGAGTACGATAGTCGTATGCTGGAAGGACTATCCCTCTCTATCCGTCTCGGTTTCACACACATCCTGATTCTAGGGGACTTTAATCTCCCTAGAGTCAATTTCGCGGAACACACGTACACTGGAGGCGACAACTCAACTGAAGCTCGGTTCTTCAACCTCATCGATGACTTGGGCTTATATGAAAATGTGAGGTCGGCAACTCGTTGGAGAAACAGTCAGACACCATCGCGCTTAGACTGTGTATTCACAAACGAAGAATTCCTAGTCGACAACCTCTCAATCCTGGCTCCTCTGGGAAAGAGCGATCATGCCGTCATAGCCTTCAGTTTTGTCATCAAAACTAAGCTAAGGTATCCCAACAATAATTTGCGTTGGAATTTTAAACGGCTGAATGTGCCAGCTCTACATGACTATCTACAACAGGTGGTTTGGGATGTTCACCCTCAACTCGATGTGGATGGTCATTGGGACTTCTTACTGCACACGCTCTTATGTGCTACAGACCATTCAGTTCCTCAAACGGTTCCCAAAAGCTGCAAGCCACCTACAGTAATCAAGAACCGTACCCTTCGCCTGCTAAGCCGCAAAAGGCACTGTTGGGCGGAATACAAACGAACTAATAACGATGGAGCGTATAGGCAATATAAACATATCAGGAACATATGCACGAAGGCTATAAGAGAAGACAGGCTTCAGTACCAAACAAAGCTTATGGACAAATTCGCCTCTAACCCTAGAAGCCTATTCCGTTACGCAGCCTCTCTTCGTCAAGCCAAAACAGGAGTTTCTCAACTGCTAGGTCTTAACGGCCCGACCAACAATGATGGCGACGCCGCTAACCTTCTGGCGGCACATTACTCTCAAACATTTCAACCGGCTGACATCAACTTTATTGACGACAGTTTCATCTGCAATTCCACAGGACTTTCTGAAGTGGACCTAAGCGCTGACTTGGTGTTCCGGAAACTGCAGCACTTAAGACTTGACACTTCTCCTGGCCCGGATATGGTTCATCCTGCCATACTGAGGGAGGCAGCCTCAATCCTGGCAACGCCGCTTAGCGTGATGTTTTCACACTCGCTTAGCCGAGGCAAATTACCGGAAAATTGGAAGTTGGCTCACATCACACCAATTTTCAAAGGTGGTCGACGCAATGAACCTTCAAGTTATCGGCCGGTAGCTCTTCTGTCATTACCTTCAAAACTCATGGAGTCCCTGATATGCGACGGTTTAAATGACTATCTACTGTCCTTAAATTTCTTCTCACCCCAACAGCATGGTTTCAGGAAGGGTTACTCTTGTATAACCAACCTGCTGACTGCGGTGGACAGATGGACAAGCATCCTCGATCGCAAGGGAAAGGTTGATGTCATTTACCTTGATTTCTCAAAAGCTTTTGATAAGGTTAACCACTTGTGTCTTATCAACAAGCTCAAACGACTAGGTATCAAACCACCTCTAATCGACTGGCTTACTTCATACCTAAAAAATCGACACTTTAAGGTTAGGGTTAATTTCACTTTATCTCAAGCTATGGAATGTCCTAGTGGGGTCCCCCAGGGCTCAGTATTAGGGCCTCTTCTCTTCTTGATCTACATAAATGATCTTCCTCAACAGGTAACGTCAGACTTATTACTTTTTGCCGACGACGTGAAACTTTGGAGAGAGATACGCAACCAAGACGATACACAGGCACTTCAAGAGGATCTGACGCGACTTCAAAGTTGGGCAGACGATAACGGACTTACCTTTAACACTTCAAAGTGTAAAGTAGTCCATCTGCGACATGTCGCAAACTACAGTTACAACTTAGGAAACTCCTCTCTAGTAGTATCCCAAGTCGAAAAAGATTTAGGAGTCCTGGTGCCCCATGACTTAAAGTCTTACGCTAACTGTGACAAAAATGCCTTCCGAGCAAACCTTGCACTGGTAACGTTGAGGCACATTTTTGGCCAGTTTGACGGAAGAACTTTCCACACAATCTTCAATAGTTTCATCCGTCCCCATTTAGAGTACGGAAACATAGTACTCCCCCCTCACTCCAAAAGGACAAGGTCACTTTGGAGCGTATCCAACGGCGAGCCACGAAATCAGTTCGAGGACTCAAATCTAAGCCTTACGAAGAACGCCTCCGTTCACTAGACCTTTACCCACTAGAATATAGGCGTCTTAGAGGTGATTTATTAATGGCTTATAGTATTCTTAACACTTCTGGACATCCTCTTAAACACCTACTTAAGCTTAGTTCGAATAATAACCTAAGGGGTAACACCCAGAAACTGGAAACACAACATAGCAAAACGGAATGTAGACACAACTTCTACTCCTTAAGAGTTGTCAAAAGCTGAAATTCGCTGCCGGCCGAGCTAGTTCAAGCGACTTCTCAGGAGTCCTTCAAGAGGCAACTTGACCTATTCTTAAGGACCAAGGACAGCATCACACTATGATTTACCAATTTCTTTTCCTCTTTTATTGTTAACATACCTAGGTTCCTGCCTGGAGGATTTCGTGATCCCCTGCTACTAGACACGGAAGCCTGTTAAGCGAAAGCTTCTTCTATTCCGTCCACAACCATTTGAACCATTTGAACGTATCCCTTTACCCAGTCGTCGATAAACCAGCAGTACAGGTTTGTCATAATAAGAGTCTGACACGTGATCAGAAATTATACTTGAACAAACGAAGTTTGAATCCGAACGCCCCTCCTAAGCAAATCAACAACTTAATGAATAATTCAATATTCTTAATCACTCATGGTGCAATACTTTAAATTTCATCACAGTACACTACGCGAAGCTGTTACGTTATGTTTCTTGTTAAACACATTTTCTGCACTATTTGTGATTACTTTAATGTAAATTGTCCGTCCATCAAGTATGCTTTGTTTCCGTTCGAAAATCTTTGAAGTATGGAATAGTGTATCTATCTTATCTTCCTAGCACATACACAGCCCTGAACGTTATGTAAAATTCCGAGTAGTCAAAGTAGGGTCCACTAAAACAGGCAACATCTGGCCCCATATTTTGGATATTTGGTTCGACATACTCGTTTTTTACTCGAGATTGTTGACTGTATCATTTATTTATTTCAGATTATCATCAGACACCTGATAACAAAGCAATGCTTCACTTTCGACGGTAGATTGGAACTGGTTAAATTATTTGACCGCGAGTGTAAAGTAATCATGTTCCCTAGATAGCCACGCCTTTTCGCTTATAACACTGTCTTTGTTAAATGCTGGCGGTTAGTATATCGTACGGTGTATTTAGTCAAATAACACTCACTTATATCAAAATACTTGAAAATCAAGCAAAACAAATTAAAAGTCATGTCAATTTTACACAATTGTCTGGTGGAGTTTTTAGGCCTCATGACTTAAAATCTGATTACAAAAAGTCTTCGTATCATCATTTTATGTGTCACAGTATTCTCACCTAACTTATCCTGAAATAGATTAAATTTTGAGTTCACTATATTCCCACTTATCTGGTAGATTATTTAGATCATTCATTGTTTCATGAAAGCTAAGCATGAACAAAGTAGGTCTTTTAGTCTTAATAGTTTTGGGATCTCACCTTTCAGATCACCATAGCCAGAATAAGCTGATAGAAGTAAACCATATGAATGACCTAAGGAATTTTATATGCCCTTGAGTGACATATCAGCTGATCGGAATAGTTTATTGATATGAGTTAATTTACTATCTTAAAAAAATATAATTACAAGGGATAAGTTTTGTGACGAATAACGAAACTTTTCTTTTATGTATTCTTACAGTAAACTGAAGAGGTTTAAGATTAGGAGTCTGGGTTGTAAATTAAGAATTAGGTTTTAGAGTTAAGAATTACTGGAAAGGGATCAGAGAAGCGCTAACTTCAACGTGTCAGGAGGTTCTGGGTCACGATGCAGCACCATTAGAAATGGACCTCCATCGAAATCCTGGGAAAGATTGTAGAAAGGAAGAACAAGGAGACAGCGATTAACAACAGTCAGACAAAAGCAGAGAAATTCAAGACACAAGCTGAGTACACAAAAGCAAACAAGCTAGCGAAGAATAGTATTAGAGTTGTAAAACGGAAATCTGTGCAATGGCAGCGGGAAAAGCTGCAAGAGAAGGAAATATAAAGCAAGTACATGATACAACGAAGAAAATGGCAGGGAAGTGTCGTAAGCCAGAGACCGGTCAATGACAAAGGAGGAAAAACAAGTACGGAGATTCCAGAACAAAGGAACAGATGGGTAGAATACTTTGAGGAACTCTCGAATCGACCAGCTCCAATGAACCCACAGGACATCAAAGCCTTATACCCCTCTACGCGCGTCAGACTCACAGTCACTGGCTCTATTAACTGACTTTATACTTTGTTGTTGAAATCACGGTAGAACGAATTTGTCTAGGTACGGGAACATCCTTGAATTGCTTTTTTACGGTCATGAATACTAAAAAAATCATTCTTCATTCATCGGCTTTTTATTTCGTACAATAACCGTTACTTTTCTCTGGTTGGTATTTATAGATCCTAACAAAGTTCTGAAAATTGAATGTGAACTAAATAAATGACTTGCCATTATCTGTTAGTATTAGTATGATGGAATTTAACCGTAGAGCCCGAGTATTTAAGTTATGACGGGAAAAGTTATTAATCAGCCTAAACTGATTTTTCTCTGACATTGATCACTTGTTAATCATCAGTCAGATGTAAACTGCCCAAAATATTTTTCGTCCACTGATCTTATTATTAATTCATATAGCAGTTTGGGGATTTAAAAGGTAATGAATACATTCATACAGAACTCTTCTCTATCAATTTACCACACTCCATTTGCTCAATTTCTATTTCTAATAACCAAAATTATTCAAGAAAGAGGGAATTTTTGACTTTTGTCTGATTTGTTGTTTTCCTGTTATCTCAGTTCACTGACTTTTGTCATAACTAATTATTTTTTATCATGTTTTGCTTATCCAGTTATTCAACCAATGACGTTACTCAACTATCATAAATTCCTAACTACGAGTTTCCGTGGTTACAGTGTCAAGAAACTGCTTCCGAAGTACGATATAATAATTGTCGGTGGTGGGATGGTTGGATTTGGTTTGGCTGCCGTTGCGGGTAAATCAAGGCATTTCGTTATTTATCTTATTTGTTTAATATAGCGGCTTCCAAATTTCTCGGTAAGAAAAGCATTTTATTGCTGGAAAGTTCTGGTAAAAAAAGTATCAACGTAAAGAAGAATATGAAAATCGTGTTGTTGCTCTTAACGGCCTTTCCGTAAACATGCTGAAAAGTACATTTTCTATACAAGCTTCAGGATTCGTGTAATCGTACTCCTTTTAGATATTGGTGTTTGGGAATTTATTCAGTCATTCCGTTCTCAGCCTGTAAATAAAATGAAAGTATGTGAAATATCACAGTTTTCTACCATAATATGTTTCGGCTCTTGAACGGTTTTATTTTATCAGTTTAAGTGAGGTTTATAAGCGATAAAATATACACTTCAAATCATTCTCTCCGTGACTAAGTAATAATACCTTCCTTAATATTCGTGGTGATGACAAGAATCAAATTCTAAATTCAGAATCTTCCTTACCAGTCACATACACAGTTTTTTCACACAAAAAAGACGAATTTGAAGCCTAATGTCTGGTCAACACTGTGAGCTTTAAAAAGTAGGTTCATGGATTTACTTAACATTCGAGTGCTTAAGTCTAAATGAGGATCACTTTAAATAAATTAGCAAAATTTTCTTTTTCACACGTGGTATATGTAGTTACAGTGTAGTGGATTCTACTCATAAAATTGTTTGTGAGTTGTATGTAGCGGAACTTGGCTTTGACGTTGAAACAGTCGTCAGATGGGGAGATTTCCAGTACAGCTAAAGCACGGCTTAGGCAGACCAGACGAGGAAACAGTTCAAATTGCGGAACTCACTGAAAGATAAAAATGGATGATCGAAGGTCATGTATACGTATTATTTAAATTCTTTATAACTTCTCACAATAAATATAGATTCCCTCTGTCTATTGCTTTCTTCTCCTATAGCATCTCCAACATCCTTGGTAAAATTCATTTGAATATTAAGAAACAGATGACTATTTAAATGTCATCCGATGTGTCTACCACAGAGTGGTCTATAAAACTCATGAATGTTATCTAAATGTTCATCTCGTCTGGATCTACTAGGTAATCTGAATTTGATCGATTCGAGATCATATACTTTCAGTCCAATTAAAAGTGATTGTGTGACTTGGTGCTTGGGGCTTTCGACTGTTAGCTACCAAGACGTAGATTCAGACGCCTCTCTACCTGCTTGGGTTTGGGCAACTAGTCCTAACGATTATTGTGTGACTCAAGGCTAAATAATCGAGTATGTATCTCGCAAATGAGTTAACAAAATGTACAAAAGTTTTATTAAAGTATGATAATTCGGTAAAGTTAGGTAAATCATGGCTGACTTCCAAGAGCTCTAGAGACCTAAACATAAGGAATGCTATCTGTAAGAGCTACTAGTATAAGTGATATGCAAATTATAGGATAACCCTTTATTCAAGTTTTGCATGAAGATCCAAAGAGAAATCCCTCTACTCCAGTGATACCAAATATGAGATATGCTCCCTAAAGTCTCTTACAATCTATCGGAGTTATTTTACAGACCTTAACTAGGTACCCTACGCATCTACATGGATTAGGTGGACATTCAGTGGCCTTATTATTTGATGTTGTCTTCTGTTAGCAGTGCTCATCCTGCGTCTGCACCACCAATTACCAAACACAAACTTGAAATAAACACTTAATATTTCAAACTGTTGGGCCTTATCTTCTAAACGACCAAATTTCATCAGCCCCGTTTTTAAGAAAGATGATTAGACTCTGTTCTTATCATGTCTTTATATTATTAGACTAATTTGAACAGTTTTGACTTAACATACGGAATCTATGTGACTTCATCAATTTCCATCATGAGCTTTATTGTTTTTCATTATAAAAGACCGAAATTCACATAATTTACATAATCTATCAGCTCTTATTATTAAGTTTGTCTCGTTTTAGATGATTGATTAGCGTATACTTATTTTACTGTATTCATTTTGTACATACGTTTAGGTATTGTAAACAAAGTCAAACCTTTACTTAACGTTTCAACGCAATCCCTTGGCATATATAGTAGAAAATGATTTAGTTATTGAATCACTTTGTAATTATTTGGGATCTAATAATAATTCTTCAAATGTGACAATACTATATGAAACACAAGCTGAAAACATTCAGCTGCCTTCTTCAGATCATCCAGAACATTTAGTTCGTGTAGACGTTCAACAAAGGACACAAGCTAAACAGGAAACTGTTGAAACAGATCTACTTGTATGTTGATTATTCATTGATTTTTTAGAGGAACAGTATTATTTGTGTATGAAATTAATATCAAATTTAGTACTCTAAATAAATCTCTTTTAATTCCTAATTATAATTATGGAACAAGAATAAATATTCCTAATGTGCCTATTAACTATAAAAATCTAACCATTTGAAGATAAACAACAAGAATACTTCAAAATCTTTTCCAGCGTGATTCTGTATTAACTAGTATTGATTGTTAGTTCAGATGGTGATTTGGTACTTGTATCTCGTTACCAAGATACTTCAGTAGGTGCGGATTCACAACTTATTTTCATTCCCTAGATTATCTGAACCTAACCTTGGTGTCGGTCACTTATTGGTTTCACTCCATGCGAGTACTTTGAAAACTTGTTACCAAATTCGTATAATAAATACATCTGCTTTTAATGACCAAGTCTACCAGATATAATTTGCTACAGCGGACTGATGCTCAGTATGATAGTAATTTGAATATTTTTTAGAAGTCTCTCCATCCAGATGTTCGGTGTAGTGTAAGGAACGCCAAATAGCCATATGACATCCAAAAGACAACTTGTTGACCAGCCAACGGAGGCTCCTATAATCTGCTCAAAATATAACTATATACTTGGATAACTACTCAAGTAAAATTTGAAGGTTTTTTTGAATAATATTATTAAACAAGAAAATAATACTCGACTTATGCATAAGTTGATGCGTCACTTTTAACCAATGTGGATTCGTACCTGGTATCAACATTATTGTATTATGCATGTCTAAAATAGATATCAGTGAATCCTAAAAGTAATCATTTATTTAATTAAATCAGTCAGTCAGCTACAACGTAGGACCAGGCACATATGTGCATCGGTCCAAGTTGCCATACCTCACTAGCACAACAAGATCAACACCGAATTCATAGAAGTAGTTAATTCAGTGGTGGTAATGTATAAAAGAAAGATTGCATATGAGGACATAGCACAGGAAGAAAGAATCAGTTCGTAGAAAGGAAGGTATGAAGCGAATTTAATCTCACAGGTTAAGGGAAGATAGAGAGTGTATACACCAACGCTATTATGATCGATTCTGAGAAATATCACCTAGAGTCTTCAACCACTGGTTACGATAGTCACGCGGACCCCAACTAAGTAGTCTGCATCTACCAACATGGCACAGACTAGGAGTTAGTGTCCTCAAACACGGATGCCACATTTTTAGTTTGGCGCTCCGTAACTTTCTTCCAACCGCCTCTTACACTAGTCAGCATTGCGCGTCGTAGTAATCGGTGTTCAGGCATACGCAACATGTGGCCCAACCATCTCAGTCGATGAAGATTGTTTTGTTCAAATCCAGAAATCGGTATTATTTCTGAAATATAATTGTAAAATAAATTCATGTTTTCTCTTATATTAAGTGTTTTTGGTAGTTGACCTTAATAAATGCAACTTCTATTGACACAAGAAATTCACATTTAAAAGTGTTCATACTTCTTCAATTTAATATCAAATCCCTTCGGTAGAATGGTTCAGGAAATGGTTACGTAATTGCCCATCAGTCAGTCAGTCAGTAACAACGTAGAACTTCGTACGTACGTACATCAGTTCGAGTTGCCACACCACATTAGCACACAGCTGTAGTGGTCGATTCAAATCCCGTAGTGGTAGAGACGGTAAGAGTATAAGCAGTAATCAGGAAAATTAATGTTTGGAGATGTTATTTAAAGAGTATAATATAGTGAAATAAATTTGGGAAGAGAAAAAAAGAGACAAGGAGGAATAAGGAGATCAAAATTTTTGAGAACACAAAGATTGTATGCACCTGCGCCATTGCAAACGATTTTGAGCCATGTCACTCAGGGTCTCTAATCATCGGTTGCTATCATTTCGCGGTCCCCAACCAGGTAGTCTACACCTACCAACATGACTCAGTCCACTTGTCAGTAACTTCATGGACTTGTGCCATGTTTTGGTCTGGCCGCCCCTAGCGTAATTGCCCATACAAACTTAAACACTTGCAAATTATATGTTTGATTTCTAATGAGTTCAACATTTTGTTATGAGCACTAATCTGCCAAATAGAAGATTCATTGTTCATAAACACAACTCTTTCTAAAATATGAATCATAACCTTTGTTCGTAATTTGAATTTCATGCAGTAATCTACATCTTGAAATCATTCCGTTATTATAGGAACCTGAGTTTAAGATAAAAAGTTCTATGTTTGAAGTCCACTTTACAAAGTTTATTTTATCATCCGACTAGTTCTACTGTTTGTCAATAATTTTCATGGTAATTTATAGTATTGATTTGTAGGCGGTTTCAGAGTTTCATATGTTTTCACTTAACTTCTAATATTCTATTCATGTCACTTTACATCGTTGAAATCTATATTGTTATCATGAAGTTCAGTATGACAATGATGTTCTTTTATCCAGTACTTTGAAATCAATTCATATTGTGGTCATATCTTCTAATATGATATACGGCGAGACTCTAATTTAGCGACGACCTTTGAACGAATCTTAAATGACCTTGACAATTATTAGCCAATCAGAAGACAGTTAGTATAAAGTGAGAATATATTGTAAGTAATGAATTACAGTGGATATTCTTCTTTTACATGATTTAAAAACTTGTTAAGGTTTGATAAAGGTTCAGAGGCTCTGAATTCATAATGCATATGGTATAGAAACTCGTCCATATAGTTAGTGGTTAGGGTTGTAGCCTAGGGTTAGAGTTAAGGTTGGGTTAGGGTGCTAATATGCGATCAGTTTACAACGTATTTTAGAGGTTAGGGTTTAGGGTTATGGTTGAGTTCAGGGTTAGGGTTGGGTTGTAGCATGTCAATAAACACTTCTTCTCTAAAATACGATGCAAACCGATCGCATGTTAGCACCCTAACATTAAACTTTAACCTAACCCCAACCTTAACCCTAAACCCTAACCTTAACCTAACCCTAAACCCTAATCTAACCCTAACCCTAAACCCTAACCTTAACCCTTAACCCTATGGACGAGTTTCTATACAATATGCATTATGGATTCAGAACTTCTGAGCCTTTATCAAACTTCAACAAGTTTTTAAATCATGTAAAAGAAGAATATCCACTGTAATTCATTACTTTCTTGTAATATATTTTTACTTTATACTGTCTTCTGATTGGCCAATAATTGAAATTGCTCAAACGCTTCTCATTGGCTCGTCCCTAAATTAGAGTTTCGCCGTCCCATCTGTTTTAACCTCTCATTAATCACCTTCTCTTTAAAATCCGCTGTGAACCGACCGTATGTTAGCATCGCGTGTTGAACTTGGCTCCGTGACCTTGAAATTGCTCAAACGCTTCTGATTGGCTCGTCGCTAAATTAGTCTCGCCTGATATACTTTTTCTGTGTGTATGCATGTGGATATTGTATTGTCCTGTTTACAGGATTATATATTTACCACATTAAATTTCTCATCTAGTTTTTAAGATCTTTTTCTAGTTTATTTTTAAAAAAACGACAGGGTATCCTGGTAAATCAATTTGAATGCTTTAGTCACAGCATGCGAAATATGCATAGTATATTCTCAAGTTTACCTTTCCCTACCTCATAGTTTGTATCTTCATTTATTTTATCTACAAACACGATACTGTGCTAGAGTTTACTGTCAATTTCGGTTTATGCGCTTAAATTATTCTAATCTGCTAGTACCTCTTAAATTAAACAAAGTTCTAACGGTCACTATTAATTTGTTTTAACATACTCTTTCCTGAACTTTATGTATACATTGTAGTCCAAATGTCTTATGTATTTAAATAAACTTTGTCGATACTCTTATACGTTTCCCTTTTTCATTGACTCACAGAATTTTAAAATATCAAACAATCTTTATTACAGCTTTGTTACTTGAAGTAATCTGTTTTATAAATTGTAATTACTTGGAAATAATTGTTGTTTTATGGTAAATGTAACAACAATCAAAAGAAACAATTATTTGATGTTTCAAATAGTGAATTTATTAATTATAGATAAATTGTTGCTTTTACTAAAACAGTTGAGTGACGTTTGCAATTTACTTTTACACTACATTTTATGCAGTGTTTTGTTTTGATTAATTTATAAATAATATTTGGTTTTATTTGTTTTCGATTGTAGATTGGTGCTGATGGGTTCAATTCACTTGTCCGTAGAACAGCTAATATTCATAAAATTGGTTGGAATCATAATCAAAAAGCTATTGTAGCAACTTTAAAATTGGAACAGGTAAATTTTTGTGATTAGTGAAACGGATAAAATGAATTTATACAACTGAACCGGGAAGTTGTACATTGAGGTTTAGTGTATTTAGTATTTCTAACATGATGTGGTAATAAAAATATATAAATAAATGGTTGTGACATCAGTATAGAATAGATGGAATGTGGCTAGCAGTGGGATCCAGAATGCTCATTTCGTCCCATTTGGGACTAGTTAGCTGAATGCACCTGCATTCCAGAGTTGATTTTCATCCCTAGACTCAAATCCAGTAATCTTTGCTCCAAACATCATCCACTTAGCTACTGAATCCAGATAGCCACTCACCTATGCAACGAGTATGAGATACCAAATATCAACAGTGGGATAATCCAATCCATTTTAAATTGAATTAAACCGTAAAATCAGTTATGTCACAGAAATTTGTTTGTTTTTATATTAGATGTTATATCCAGAACTTGGATTTTTTCTATACCGCGTGCAACTTGAGCACTTGAACCCTCCAAGTCTCAAGTTAAAAGGCAGAAGACGAGTGGAAAGGAATCTTATTCAAACCAGTATCAAATATGATACAAAGCACTCGGGTATTCATAGTTTTAATAAAAACGAAATCATCATTACAATCATCCGATTCACAGACAGTAGTTTTTAGAATTTGTCCAATCGGGAAGATACAAGTCAATATCGTCTATTAAACTTCCAAACGATGACAGGATCGAATGCCTTTGGCTCTTTCAGAGCTTCTTTAAGTTCACCGGGAGACGTCCACACAGCGGACTGACCATGGTGTATACTACTGTCGTATTTGATATTGACATATATATATTAGATCCAATCGTTATATTGAGTAAGCCTTGGTGTTGATGCCCATTACATTCAAGTAGATTTATACATTTCTTTGATTTTTAAATCTTCTAGTGGTTCATCATAACTTGTTCTTTAAGGGTGAAGGAACCAGAAATTCTACCTTAAATGTAATAATTCATTATTGATAATTAATTCATAATTTTATCTAATGATGAAGCGATGTTATAAGTTCATTGGTTCCGGATTTAATAAATTTCCTTAATCCCCAAGTTTTTATATTCAATCAGTAATATCCTGTCTTTATTAGTTTCGATGTATTTACTACCTATAATTGACTGACGAATGAGTAGTATTGATCAGTGCCATGTTTGTCCAGTTTCTCAATGCTGATCGAATCCGGTTAACCAAGTTACAACGTCGTCACTAGTCTAAGTGACTCAACATCGCATGCACTGTGCTGATGTGTAGGGTGGTTGTCACGTTACCACCAACCTTGGTTCTGTGCCGGTCGGTACTTGCTGATAACACGGCACCTTTAATCTTGTGAGATTCGAATTTATTTCACGCAGTCGCGGCCCGCATGGCTTAGAATTAAGTTTCCAGATTGAGTGACACATGCTCAAATCCGACAGAGAGCATCCGTTTCCTCAAGATCACAGTAATCGCCTGCTGACTAGTGCCAACTATTACAAAACCTAAATCCTTAGTTTCCTCCCAACTACCTCCATATTTAATACCTTTTTGTCATCTGGTGTTTTTACTTTGTAGCCTACCAACATGATTATTGGTCTGGTTACATTTAAATTGAAAACGCAAACTAATAAACTTTATTATTTGTTTACTAGTTATACAGTAAGGCCAACTATACAGAGTAAGAAAATATTCAATTACAGATTCCTTCAAATTAAATAAATTTGACATATTAACTTATTAAATAGGAAGTCATTTTATCTTATGGCTCTTTTTTCTGTTCTTTTTTTCATCACATTCTGTCATCAGAATGTGTCTGTAACCGTAATGTTAATGCCATAGTTGCCCCCTGAATGCCCTGGTACGGCCGAGAGTGGGGAGAGTCCGCTCTCCCTCTCGAAATACTCTCACACGGCCACGCGTATACAGCCTCTGCCAGGGAAGTCCTACTCATTGCCTTCTCGTGGCGGGGGTGTTGTTTACGAAAATGAGAGGACGAAAAGCGAATGTCCGGCGCTTTAACCGGATTCCAAATCAATGGTGCACATGGGCTCCAGTATCCTGCGGGAACGAATGGCGTATGAACCAATCGTTGGTCACCGGCTACCATGGGACTGCATCTCCTTACGATGCTCCACTGCCTTGTGGGTTAGACCTTTAGGTCAAAGGCTCGGGGAGTGGCCCCCTAAGATAACCACCTGCTTCGGTTTGGGCACCCGGGCAGTATCACAGCCCACACACAAATGATGAACTCTTTATGTCTATGGAAATTACTTTTGTCGCTTCGAAAAACAATCAATTGATTCAAATTATTATCATTACAATTATTATCATTATTAATACTATTATTATTACCATTATTGTCATTATTATTATTATTATTATTATTATTATTATTATTATTATTTCCCACATTATTCACCCTCTTTTATACTTATACAGCGGCTCGTCTTTGGTGGAAATTCGACTGTATCTAAACGTTCTCGAGTCACTGTCCGGTTGAAAACTGTATGTTACCACCGAATACGACTACTGAAGCAGTTTTTCTGAAACCACGTGCACCATTCAAACTGGCTGCCTTCAACGTTCGCACACTTAAGCAGGTCGGACAACAGATAGGACTGGCTATGTCTTTGGAAAGTCTTAATTTCGATGTCTGCTGTCTATCCGAGACCCGTATTCAAGACTCTGATGAAGTACTACAAATTCGCTCTCCATTTGTCGCTTCAAAAAGCTTGTTTTACATGCGTTTATCCGGAGACCCTGTGGCATCTTCGTCCGATGTTGCTGGCGTTAGTGTCGCACTAAGCGCTAGAGCTGAGGCAGCACTAGTCGATTGGATCCCCATTAACAGTCGGTTACGTGCTGATAGATTAGAAAGTTCCATCAAAGTGAGAAGAAATCGGCGTGAGAAAAACGATGTGTCTTTTCGTCATCTCCGCCTATGCCCCGACAGATTGCAGCCCGGATGCAATCAAGGATGAGTTTTACCACCAGTTATCTGTTCTTCTCCAGAAAGTGCGTTCGACAGATATTGTAGTACTAGCCGGAGACTTGAATGCTCAGGTCGGGCGTCTAGGCACAGAAGAGAGTCGTTTAGGTGGCCGATGGGGACTCGTTGGTCGCAGGTCAGATAACGGGGACCGTCTGGTAACTACCCGAAGCTCTTCCAACTCATCCGAGCCACTGGCAGCGAGAAGTCTGGTGTGAGTGAAACAATCTGCGAGGATGATGGGATGCCAATCACTAACATCCATCGACGTCTTAGACGATGGACAGAATTTTTCGAAGGGCAGTTCAACTGGCCTGCTGCTCCGGCAACATCGGTCAGACTGTCCTGCCCTCCATGGCCGGTGACGACTGATCCACCAAACGAGGCGGAAATTCGCAAGGAACTCCAACTCTTGAAGCGTTACAAATCACCTGGCCCAGATGACTTACCTCCGCCTCTTTTTAAAGATGGTGGTGACTTTCTGATTAAGGAATTGACGACGTTGTTTACAAAGGTTTGGGAACTAGAGAGTGTACCAACGTCATGGAATGAGTCGATAATTGTCCCTATCTTTAAAAAGGGTTCACGTCGTTCCTGCAACAACTATCGGGGGATAAATCTACTTCCGATTGCGTCCAAACTATTGGCTTCCATCATACTTCGTATATTGTTCAAAACCCGAGAAAGATTGACTCGCGAGGAGCAGGCTGGTTTTCGTTCTGGTCAAGGATGTATTGATCATGTCTTCACCCTCCGCCAAATGTTAGAACATCGCCATACTTATCAAAGGCCAACAATCGTAGTGTTTCTTGACATCAGGGCTGCCTTCGATTCGTTGGATAGGACTGTTCTCTGGGATTGTCTATTGAAGAAGGGTGTGCCTGAGAAGTTTATTAACATCCTAAAAGCCCTATATACAAACACCTCAGGCAGAGTGAGGGCATACAACCACCTCTCCATTGTTCCATCCGAGCAGTGGGGTTAGACAGGGTTGCCCAATCTCACCATTCCTCTTCAACTTTGCCATCGATGACATTCTGGAAACAGCTGTGATGGATGTAAGTAATGGTGGTGTGGATCTGTTGCCTGGAGAAAGACTTCTCGACCTTGAGTATGCTGATGATATTGTCTTACTGTGCGATAATGCCCAAGGCATGCAATCCACACTTAATCAGTTGGCAATCAGTGTCCGTAGGTATGGTATGTGCTTTGCACCTTCGAAGTGCAAAGTACTTCTACAAGACTGGCAGGATTCTAATCCTGTACTCACCCTGGATGGTGAGCAGATAGAAGTAGTCGAGAAATTCGTGTAACTAGGTAGCTGCATAAGTGCTGGTAGTGGCGTGAGTGATGAGATCAATGCACGTATAGTGAAAGCCAGAGCGGCTTATGCCAATCTGGGCCACCTTTGGCGCCTTCGTGATGTTAGTCTGCCTGTAAAAGGTCGGATCTACAACTCGTCGGTGAGGGCAGTTTTGCTCTATGCTTGTGAAACCTGGTCTCTCCGAGTCGAGGATGTTAGACGACTCTCTGTGTTCGATCATCGCTGTCTCCGAAAGATTGCTGACATCCAGTGGCAACACCATTTTAGTAATGCAGAGGTTCGACATCGTGTGTTCGGACACAGAGATGATAATGCAATCGATGTCACCATCTTGAAACACCGACTTCGGTGGCTTGGACATGTTCTACGAATGTCGTCCCAGAGAATTCCACGTCGTGCATTATTTGCCGACGCTAGGATTGGTTGGAAGAAGCGGAGAGGTGGTCAGTGCATGACATGGTGTCGTGGTATGAAGGAAAGCTGTAAAGGACTGGCTTGTGTTGGTCCTTCACGAATCCCTGGTTGGGGTCTGAGAGATGGTGCTACACAGTGGCTAGAGACGTTATCAGATATGGCTCAGAATAGAAGCCAGTGGTCATCCTGCTGTAACCTTCTTTTACTTTCTTCATAAAAAGTGGTTGTGTCTCCCTTAACTGAAAGATTTTTTCTGATTGTACCTTTTCGTTCCCTCGTTACTACCACACTACCTTACACCAATCTCTTCGTTATTGTTCTCTTTTTCTTTTGCGCTCCTTAGTTTTTTTTGTACTTCTCTTCGAATTCTCATTGTTTTGTGTGGCGCATATATGCTGGCTTTCTCTTGTACCAATATTCATGTGTTCAAATAATAATAATAAGTTTGATAATATGGCAAATCATTATGATGAGAGGTTTTTTTTCGGGATTGCATTTAACCGCACTTAAAGATGAATATTACTTAAGAAGTGTTCGGCTAGTCATATATTCGTTCGGTTGAATTCCATTATATAACTTACAGATTTTTAATCTATGGAGTACTATGATCAGAAAATCAACAATATTTTTAAGTAAACTTTCTCATTGTTGACTGCGTTAAATTTACGATGAGTAAAAAAGCTTTCGTTGTATTTACTTCGCTATATGTATTGATAGGTTATCAATTGTCTTTATTACCAATATTCAAAGTTAGATGTTTGTTTTAGTAAAGTTATATTACTTACTTTAAATTAATGGTTATTTCTTGGCAAGTAATAAACGCATTATGTAGACTTCAATGGTTCTAATATCGTTTTCTGCGTAAAACTAAGTGTTTGACTGCATAATCTTGGTACTAGATTTTCATGTTATGGGTTCAAACTAATTAAATGGACTTTACCCAGTTGGCGCCTCTTCACATCTGTGTCCCTAAAGTCAATTACATGAAATGAATATTATTGTTATCCTAAGATTTATTTATTGAGACACATAAATATTAGTACAAGGGGGCACCAAATATAAGGGCTGGATAACTGCCTGGGCGTCCTAACCGAATCCCAATAACGATCTTCATGTTTTATGTTTGTTTATCTCATACGTCTATTTGAGTTATGTTTATGACTAATTAATTGATAAATTTTTAATCGTTTTTTTTATATTCATATCATCAGGCTAACAATGAATCTATCGCTTGGCAAAGGTTTCTACCAACAGGCCCAGTTGCATTACTCCCAGTAAGTGGTTATTCTCACTGAGTTTTATTTTGCTTCATGATTGTATAGCTTTATGTTTCAAACTGCTTTTAATGAACTATACCTATCGTTATGTTTAGTGTACCCATCATTATTAACTTTACAGTTATTATCATTATTATCTCACCTTATTTACTTGTTATGTTGTTAATGTAACCACCTGTGCTGTCCTGAAGGGAAATGTGGTAACTTGTGCTGAAAAAAAATAATCCCAATCTTTACATTGCTTATGAATAACTGTAATATTATCAAGTCAAGAGAATTTTACAAATGTAGTTATATTTACAAACATCGTAACTGATTGAAAGACAATTAACATTCAATTATTATATCACTAAATTTTCAGTTAAGGTGCGGTGACCATTCGATGTTTTAGTAGGTAGCTCGGAAAAAACTTGTCATGATGGTTGCTGGTCGTTGGCAGTATTGCACAGTATTCCATTTTGTGATCCTAATGGCTTGAGGACCTAGTCTCTGAAAATCACACTCAGTCATAGGTATCCTCAGTGTGTGTCTCATGTAGAGTGGACCCATGTTTATTATATGTATACACAGGATTAGTTTAGAAATTTTTCAAGATAATTCACACCACGGCACAATACTAGTCTATGAAATAACCGACTCTGGATATGAATTATATATATATATATATATATATATATATATATATATATATATATACCTATGCAAATCGGTTTATATATTAGAATGAATCAGTTAACTTATTATTTCTGTATGGAAGGATAGTTGATATATTCTGTTCTAATGTTTATCTAAATAAGCTATAATCAAAGAAAGGACACTGTCTTTTTTGTCTATCAGTTTAGTCTTGGTTGTTAAGAGTACACAGTCTTCATGTATAAACCATATCGATATTGAATAGATTTTGCATTATAAGTAGTATCATCATATATATCTTTCAGTTCGATAGACTAGTCTATATAAAAAAACAGAGTAACCTTCAAATGTTATAAGAATTTAATCAATTAAGTAATTTTCGAATGTTTACTCTCATAATTACAAATTAGATTTTAAAATATGTATGACAATTGTGTGTATACTCGAAGACAAATAAAGGTATTTTAGAAATGCAAATGAATACGTGGTAAGAGTAGTAGTGATTTGCAATAAAATAACTGAGAATATGTATGATATTGTAAGTGGAACATATGCAGTACGCATATGTTTATTAAGGTACAATGAAAGTGTCTTCGCTGTTGTCAATTTTTTTTCTGTCAAAATCAATTAATCTGTTTCACATCAAGGGTTAATGGTTTTGTTTTCTTTTTTTTCTTTTATAAGAAACCTTCATGTTTAAAAAGTGGTCACTTTATTTATTTGTGTGTGTGTGTATGTGAAAAAGTGACAAATCGATTTCTCATTCCGAATTACACTAATTTTTACTCTTGGATTATATTATTTAATTAAATTTTAAATAAATAATGAATGTCATAATAACTAAATCATTGCAAAACTGCTGAATAGATTTTAATGAGTTGATACAATCAGTTTATGGAATTTTCGATAACAGTCATATTATTGCAAAATGTCAGAAATCAGATCTCATCTACTTCTCAATTACTTTAAACAACTTTGAAGTGTTAACATAGTATTTATTATTTAACAAATCAACTGAATTAAAATAGTTGAATTTACCAATCAAAGTTAGATCACCATTGAAAACCTGGACGACCATTTCGTCATAGTATGTCTGGCTTCAATATCTGACTCCAATAAATAATATCCCGTAAACTGAGTATTTTAGGTAGGCTTAATCTCCTAGTAGAATTACAGATTTACTCGAGATTATTCAGAAGCCTGAACACCAGTTGTAGAGATAAGTTATTGTTAATGATTAATAAATATATATACCCATAATTTATCATAAACGTATTTATTGTAACGTTGTACGTTTAGATTTATCTGTCTGTTTATTTCTCTAATGAATTTTCTAGCGTATGATATATTTATCTTCATTGTTATGAAATCATTGAACAAATATTTTTTTTCTTTTCACAATATTGATAATAATTGTAGATAATTATCGTCTTTATGAATTAATTTTTAGTCTAATTATTAAAATTTCTTTGAATGTTAGATGAATGTATGATTAATTTTGAAGTTATACGAAATAGTAACAAGATACTCCAATTATACTCTTTTTCTCTCTCATTTATCTAAAAGTTGTCAAAAGAATATTCACCATTAGTTTGGAGTACAACTTCGTATGAAGCTGATCGTCTTATGAATTTAAAAGATTTAGATTTTATTCAAGAGTTGAATGACTGTTTGGTAAGTTGTGTTGAAATTCTTTGATTCATGCTTTTATATGTACTTACTATTTAATGAGTAAATGGGAAATTTCTTTGTAATAAGCTCACGTAAAATTAATTAAACCTCATACAATTCTCCAAACAACTAATTATTTGTAGAACCTTACTTTTTTGAAGGTCCGATATTAAAATCTCTGTGTTTTGGAACATTTCATTCAATTTGATATATTAAAGCCACTATGCTAATGTTACAGTCTTTAACTATTGTAATATTCAATAATTCCCTCATATTTGTTTATCTTTGCTGAATTATATCCCACTTCTTCCCGATATTTTTTTCTTTCGAGAAATATGTATTCTCTTCTTCATTTGTTAGACTAAACCTAATGAATCGACGTCACAAATTGGTGCACTTTTCAATAAGATGGGACAATGTTTTGCTAGTGTTGTTGATTACTTTGGTAATCAAATAAAATCTACAGACAATGAAAGTGAATCCAGCTCATTTTCAACACCAACAGTATTATCGATTCAACCAAATACGAAAAGGGCTTGTTTCCCTCTAGGTTTTCAACATGCCACATTTTATTCAGCTCCTCGTGTGGCACTAGTGGGGTATGCTAATCATTTAAATACCTATTTAAACAATAATATCAGTGAATTTTACTGCTTGCATCATAGTCATTGACCTTAGTTAGATAACCACTGGAAACCTAAAAGCAGTGGATAGCCATTTCGCCTTAGTATGGGATTTCTCAACAGTGAGCACCTATGACCCTACCGGCAATAAAACACACCGCCTTGCAGTCTTGGAGAGTAAACTGTAAAATACTATTAGTTTGATGGAATAGTTTTTAACACTACTTATCAATCAATTGTTATCTATTATGTTCGTTTCTAAGTGAGTCAGTAATCTATGAGATGGTATACACATCCTGAGTAGCAAGAACAATTATACTATATGATCTTCAGTGCGTGTGCAATGACAACGGAATATTGCAGGAAATTAAGATTAGTTAAACTATTGTAGTTTTGAAATGCTACATGTATTTAGGTTACTCAAGTTCCAAGTCTCATTTCATGATCGTGTTCACAACGTTTTATGAGAATGTTTTGAAGTTAAAAAGGAGGTTTACTCGTTGTGTGTTATAACGAAAGCAAAGTTGGAATCCACTTCAATATGTTTTTCTACTTTCAAGATGAATTTGAGTTACCCTTTACCTATACAACGTTACATCAAATAGTTATTCTGAAAACACTAATTTTAATAGATTTTTAAATTTTTTTGCCCTTAAAAACGGTTGAAGAAATTCGTCATTTATGCTAGGGGTAATGTGTGATGCATATTGAATGATTAGTCTATTAGGTCAATGTTTCACCTTAAATATCTGCTTTATATTGTAATCTCATAAAAAGTGTACTTTTTGAAATGACTCATAGACGATATCTGTCGACAATATCCCTGTGTGTTGTTTTTTAAAGTTTCTCAGCTAAACAAGTTATTATTATCATTATTATTACTTACAATTAATTGGCTAAATTACCTTGATTCACTAATTAATCAGATGGTTATTAAGGTACTCATATATAAAAAAACACTCGCTTCTTTTATTGGAAAGCATATATATTAGATAGTAGATAGATATTCGTAAACGGTTAATTTTGATATACCCTATGGCGGACCAATAAAAATATGAAAATACCTTAACTTAATTATTAGTCCATAAGCGTATCAAGAGAGTAAGTTTATATAACACAGAAACAAATATATATATATATATATATATATATATATATATATAATCATAACGCTATAGGGCAAATAATTCCAAGGAAAGTCAGATATAGATCCAAAGTGTTTGTGCGTAATCGACAGAGAATATGCTGTATGGTGTTAGCTAAAGCGTATTCAACAGGATTGTTAGTAAACAATTAGAAAACATCAGCCAACAAAGTCAAGACGAAGTGTGTGTACGAATACGTATACTTAGCGATCGTTTATCAATAAGACACAAAAAGTGAACAGGAGTAAAGGAAGTCAGCTTAAACGAAATTCTTCACTCATTATAATATTTGTATACATTGAATATAAAAATGTTAGGTATGCAGAGGAATATGCCAATAATTATCGTGTTAAGTCGAATGGTGTCCTTGAACGTTAAATGTACATTTCCTATTGGTCGATGTTTATTTCACTTGTTAAATATTGTGTAAATGTTGTTTCCTATTTTATGGTACGATGTGGTTTGTTTGGTTAGTATATAAATAGAGTATGTCTGAAATACAATGATTCATAACTCAGAGGCTGTGACTTGCGTTATGGCCTCAACTGGCTGGGCTAGACAGGGAAGTAGGACCAATCAAAACTCTAGGTCGTCCGTTACGTGTTTTTACGCTGTCACTGTAATTGATCGATATAAACGCTGCTTATCATAATCTGCAGTCACCCGTTACAACAAAAAATTATGAAAAATTGCAAATAATTAAAAAAAACTTTGAGTCTATTTCAACCATCCGCATAATCCTATTTCTCTTGCTTTTTCGCCTACATCACCTTATAGTAATTGATTCTCGAAACTGCCACCTATCCTTCCTATTTTTGTTAGATTTGCAAGTTTATGTGAGGAAGGGGGTTGTGAAGTCATCTAAAATCAAAGTGATTATCACATTAAATCAGAGGCAAGATAATGTTTCAAACTGGAATATCAATTATCGGGTAACCTGTTTGATCACTCCCCTACCTCGCTCTCCTTTTAATTTACATATTCATATAATTACAGTTCAGTAGTTCAAACCCTAGTAACTGGCAGTTTAACTGTTTACTAGGTTATACTGAATGAGTTTTATTAAACCTTTAACTTTGGTTGGCTGTTATAAGATATTTTGTTGAGATTATTCCAAATAAAACTATAGTCTATCGTGTGCACTATTTGAAGACTTTTTTAGATTGAAATACTATTTATCAAAAATATTTCAAGATATTTTCGAATTTATTTGTTAATTGTTAGTTGTACCTCTTTTAAATGTTTTTTCTTAAAAACATACCATTAATATAGTGATTCTGCTCATCGAATACTACCACTTGCTGGTCAAGGTGTTAACCTTGGTTTCGGTGATTTTGTTTCATTGGTTAGGCATTTAGAAGAAGCTGTTTTGCATGGAGCTAATATTGGTAAGAAACAATTTGCACAACTATTATCACTAATACTTTTTCTTTTATTTGATGTACAAAACAAAATCATCTATTTCACATTTGTACTGATTTCGTATTGACACGTTTACGTCAAACTGATTAACTGGAAAGGTATAAATTTTGTGGTGTTCGACTGACCTAGTTAGGAATTCATCCTATTTCATCAAGTTTATCGTATTCGCTTAGCACTATAACCCTAACCAAGTAACTACTTCCTGTTTCCTAAAAATATAGAGCAGCTATGGGTAAAGTGTGAATTATATACATTACAAGTCATGTCTATTTATGCACTTGTCTGAAACCTCAATCGAACACCATTGAACTTCACTTACATAACAATAAAGTATTTGTTGTGACTTTTAGCCAGTTAATTATCACTTGACTTATTGGCCAGTCAGAATACGACTTATGCAATATTGACCGATATGAACAGCCCGGTGTCTTTATATGGTCCCTTTTTCCTGCCTATTGAGTCCAGAACACCAATATCAGCTTCCACTATATGAATCGTATATTCCAAACATACTGGGTTTATTTAACAATCGAACCAGTCCACATTATACCATAAAATAAAAATTATACGGGATCAGGCTAAAAAGTGGCTGTGAATCTGAGAGACTGCGATTAATAAACGGAGTATAACTTAAAAATAATAAATCGGATAATAATGGTCTATAGGTCAAAATGAAGCTTATAATAAGAGAAAACATAAATAAGCATAACCTAGTTACTCAATAGTTATACAATTAGAATATATGTGTAATATTAGTTTATAAATAGTTCTCAGTAGTTACCCAAAATTTTAATCTCCGCTAGAATATTACAGTATTCGTGCGTTTGAATTCAAATGAGTCTATTTAACTATTCTATAAACAATCCACGATATTATATGGCAGTAAAGTGATCAATTATTATTAAACGCCTAAATATGCAGTCAATTTTTTTGTTGGTTAATGCATTGAAAGATATAAGGATATATACACTGTAAAAAAGAATAATATCTAATTTTGATTTATTTCCCTGACACACATTACAATTAAACGTTACTTCACCTCATATTTCTTTGCACTCTTTACCTTTGGTTCGTATCCACAAAAGTAGCTGAGCCCTCTCCAGCTTGTTGAAAAATAATTTGTTATATTTCACTAACTGACATGATTCATAATGCAGTTGATAGTCAGAGTATTATTTCTTTATATACACTGTGACTCTGACATCACTACGTCAATCTTAATTAATTTACTGTATAGTAAAACGTAACCGATTAAAAAAATGTCGTACTTGTTTCAAACGTTTTCATATGATGTTAGATCAATGTATGGTTTATTTATACTGTACTTTTAATTAATAAATTCATTTGTACAAAGATAATTTCACAAGCATGTTGTTCATATAAAGAAACTGCTGTTTTTACCATTTTCAATTTATAATCTTTATAAACTGTACATTTTATGTAGTGTAAACATTCTCCATTCATTTTAATTGTTTTATGGGGGGATCTACAGGAAGTTTAGCTTATCTTAAAGATTATACAAATGAACGACAAAGAATTATAGTACCATTAGCTGGTACATTAGAATTAATTTATTTATTATATTCAACTGATGCATATTGTAAACAAAATAACAAGGAATCATCTTCTGTTTGCCGTGATTCTGCAATATCATATTTATTAAATAATATTATCACAGATATTCGTGGAACTGGGATGAGTACTGTTCAATCTAGTAAATTATTGAAGGTTAGTTAATTTCAGTGTCATTATTTTATGAATTACCATTTTAATATTTGAGATCATGAGTCCATTGAAGCTAGATAACCATAAAAAACCTGGAAGCACTGGATGGCCTTTTCGTCCTACTGTGGGACTCCCTTTCTGATATTAATGAACATATGCTCACTAGTGACTTGCTTCAAGAGGTATTTCTTGGAGTTCTAGTGAGAAGCCGTGACCAATGAAGCTCAACCGGGTTTGTTGTGAGATGATAACTCACTGATGACAATGGTGGATGTGTCGCTCAGTTTCATGGATAAGCTGAAGTCAGAAATTAACACTGTCGGATGTTGGCTCAGTGGTTAAAAGGTCGCGCGCGAGGCGGGATCGTGAATGCGCAGGCTGGAGTCCCACAATAGTATGAACCGTCCATCCAATGCTTCCAGGTTTTCGATGGTGGTTTAGCTTCAATTGACTCATGATCTCAACTATTGAAATTACTATAGCATCCACAAAACCCTTTCTGATATTAATTACCACTTTGTATATATACATATTAATGAATTTTAAGAATCAGAGTAATTTTTAAATTGTCTCAATTTTTTTTCTATTTTTAATTATTTATTTGGACACATAAATATTGGTACAAGATGGCACCAAATATATATGCGCCACACATTTTTGTGTGCGGCCTGAGATACTGCCCGGGTGCCCAGATCGAAGCAGGTGGCTATCTTAGGGGGCCACACCCCGAGCCTTTGACCCAAAGGTCTGATCCACAAGTCAGTGGAGCATCGTAAGGAGATGCAGTCCCATGGTAGCCGGTGACCAACGATTGGCTTATACGCCATTTGTTCCCACAGGATATTGGAGCCCATGTGCACCATTGGTTTGGGATCCGGTTAAAGCGCCGGACATTCGTTTTTCGTCCTCTCATTTTCGTAAGCAACACCCCCGCCACGAGAAAGCAGTGAATAGGACCTCCCTGGCAGAGGCTGTATACGCGTGGCCGTGTGAGAGTATTTCGGGGGGCGAACCCACCCCGCTCTCGGCCATACCAGGACAGATAAGTCGTATTCCAAAACGGGTTTACTAGACTACTGTTTCGATTCTCGTTGTTCATTCTCCTTAGTTTTTTTATTGTTAATATTATCCTGAATCCATAACTTCAACGCAATTAATTAGCGTTTTTAACTTTACATGATAATTAAGCACTGAAGTTTGTGCTGATGATATCGTTCAGAAGAACGATGAAAGCTCGATGACCAAACTATCCAGCTCAGAGAACAAAACTCCATCAAAATAGTTTGTTATCTGTTTGAAATTGAATATTATTGGACTATTCCTATAAATGTTCCAAACTATTCAATAATATAAAATTAACCGCAAGTTACTCTTATCTAATTATTGCTTTGCGAATATACACATTACTTTAATGGATTGATTTTACTCAATCATTGAAAATATCTACTGGTATACTGTAAAGCTATCGTTCTTTATTTCGACTCAACATTATCAGTTTCGTGAATTGGTTGGTATAATTTGGTTGGCATTTATCTGTTCATTTAGTTTTTGAATGCTGCATATAAAGGCATGATTTTCACTAGAGATTCCATTTCAACAGTCCATAGCTATCTACAAATGTCTTCTATGGACACGCTACAGCAGCGCATCTTAAACTGACAGATAGGAAAATCAAATAAAGTGAGAATTAGAGCTTGAAATATTGTCTTGAGTGAAATCGTGCTTTTTTATACATCACTTGCTCACTAAGTGGGTTAAAAATTCTCGGAAATGCTCAATAACCCCCACAAATCGAACATTGATAAATAGACGCGCTACAAATTCATGGATATGCATCTTTTCTCGGTTTCATGCTGTCTGACACTAGACAGCAAGGTGTGGCTGTGGTAACGAGGATGCCACATAACTTACTATATGAACATTAGACTAGCAGTAATAAATTAGTTGACAGTAAGCTATTAGATTTAAGTGTTCTTTTTTGAACGTACGTAATGACTTAATAATCAGTAACAGTTTATTAGTGCTGAATGGTAACCAAAACCTACCTAATGCGTTTTAAACACTTAACCCCAGAGCTTTTCGCGATAAACTGCAAATATAAAGGTTTTAATGTGATTGATAGCATTTACTTAGTGACTCTGTGGCCTCAAATAGGAATATTTTTTCTCCCCTGTCACAAACACTAACTACTACTGCATTAAAGTCTACAATTTCTTGTTTGTTTCAGACTAATAGAAAGTAAATTTTTCTATATAGATTTCTATTTAGTACTTCATTTGATATCTTTATCTGAATCGTATTAGATGTTTTCGAGTAGATAACGTAATTCAGTAAGTCGTCCACAGCAACTTACATAGCTAGTTCAAAATATTTAGTTGGAAGGTAAGCTAAGGTTGACGAAAACAGAAAATCACAGTCGTGCATATCGTTACTGATTGAGCTGTGTAGGAAAGTGCACATCTTTCCCAAATTATCCACATGACAACAATCAGTCATCCCAGTCGGTAAATAATTTTGCAAAACTTTAAAGTGACTAAACTATTCACTACATTTTCGCATAGGAACAATTTTACCATCCTTTTCGAATTCCTCAGATAATAGTAAAAACACAGTACTCTACCTTTCTGGTTTATGGTAGATACGGGACTAATTGCCCTTAATGATTATATTATGTATAGTGCATTGGTATACACACTTCTCTGCCTTTCTTTTTTTTCAGGAATTTTTGATGGCAGTTGCTGTCACTGGACAAATCCGAACAACACAATCGAAAACCACTTATTGCTTGTAGTTGGATTATTTCTGTAATCTGTTCATACTAAAAATAAAATTCCCTAGTTGATTTTATTAATTGGAATGTAAAACAAAAAAGGTATCTTTAGCAAACGGCAGCTGGCTTGGGTCGCATTGCATATATAATATTATAGTAGCTTCGTAAGAAGTCTATGGAACTTACTAAGAATAAATATTCATGAATACACGCTGTTTGAAAGCATGATAATTTGGGTCTATCCATGGTGTTAGAAAGTTGAAGCATTCTCAGACCTATATTGAACTCAGCTGCTTAGTTCTTCGTTATGTTGGTAATTTAGATAATTTAATTTAGAACCGGTTGTACGATAATATTCCTGATTATGTATGTACGCTTTTGAATTCATGACCATTTCCGTAAAGTGAACAAATATTTTTACAAAATTCACAAGGATTTCCGATGTTTTCTTCAAGTATAAACTCAATGTCTACATGACATTAGGTCAAATTCATATTATGAATAGATAAATGTTAGACCACCATTGAAAACCTGGAAGCACTGGACGGCCGTTTCGTTCTAGTATGGGGCTCCTCAGCAGTGCGCATCCACGATCACACACGCGTGATCAGAACCCAGGACCTTCGGACTCGCGCGCGAACGCTTAAACTCTAGACCACTGAGCCGGCATTCAATGGCGTTTATGTATAACGTCGGTCGATTTGCGATACTGCGCGACCGTCCACCATTGTCTTCAGTGAGTAAATGCTACACAAAAGTCACGGTTGAACTCCACAAGCCATGAGTTCTCACTAGAACTCCAGGAAATTCATCTCGAATGGTGGTCTAAGATCGGTCTATTTATGATATCAATTTAACCCGATCGAAGCTGCTACCTTGACGCAGTGGTCGGGCTTGCCCAACCGAGCTATATTGGCTGGAACATATGTTCCTGCAGGTTCTACCATGCCAGGCAGGTCGATTGGCGAACGGTAAGACTAAAAGCAGCAACTCAAGGTCTGAGGGCGAAGTCGTACTGCTGACTGTACAGAGGTGTGACAGCAGTAAGGTGTTTCCCTCGGACAACCAGCATGACAGCGATGCTGCCTTCCCACAAGGAGGGGTGGGGTTAGAAAAGGTCGACCCTAAAAATGCACACCCCACCTTACCTCACGGATTTCCGTCTCCGGCGGTAAGGCCCCTTGAAGAACGGAGCTAACACGTCAAAAACCTTCCACAAAAAGGCCGTGCGCGACCGGCCTCAAGCAGTTGTCCCTTGGGCTCTGCGGTCACGCTCCCAGGTCGTCAAGACCAACACTAATCCAATTTCCTTTTCAGGTTCCTCAAGAAATACCCTTCCACGGTGTGGGCAGCCGGGAAGTGACATCAGCCCTCATACCCGTAACAGCACACGAGACCAAGTTGGTCACATTCAAATCCTTCCTACACCTCCTAATACCTCTCTTATCCTCCCGACTAACCCTCCTCACGTCTCTTTATCACCTCGCACCGCTAGGGCAAACGATTCGAGTACGTGGAACGCCATTCCTGGTCTCCTGAAACCACGCTCTAAACTACACGTAGGAGCTTTTAACGTACGAACACTTTGCCAAATAGGACAGCAGGCTTCCTTAGCTAAAACTTTAGAATCTCGCGCCATCGATGTGTGCTGCGTCTCCGAAACGCGCATACAGGATTCAAGTAGCGTCATTCATTTGACCTCACCATGCCAAAATAAAGAACCGACTCGATTTACGCTTCGTGTATCTGGAAGCCCTGATTCTGCTTCCCGTGGCCTCGCCGGCGTAGGTATAGCATTGAGTCCTAGGGCAGAACTAGCTCTCTTAGAGTGGATCCCAGTAAACAGTCGTTTGTGCGCTGTCCGACTGAACGGAACAGTAAGAATCCGGAAAGATAGGGACACTCGTCGTTGCCTCTTCGTCGTCTCTGCCTATTCTCCCACTGACTGCAGCTCAGATGATGTAAAAGATGAGTTTTACAGAAAGCTTTCGGACCTTCTCCGAAAAGCTAAGCGCTCGGATGTAGTAATAGTGGCCGGTGACTTTAATGCTCAAGTAGGTAAACTAAGCGATAAGGAAAGGCACCTAGGTGGATCCTATGGTGTCGTGGCTCAAAGAACAGATAATGGCGACCGCCTGTTGCAGCTATGCTCAGATAACCACCTGTTCCTTGCAAATACTAACTTTAAGCATAAGGAAAAACATCTTTTAACATGGCGACCCCCTAATTCGTCCCAACGTTGGACCCAAATAGATCACATCGCTATCAGCCACCGATGGAGGGGCTCGATAGAAGACTGTCGCTCATTCTGGAGCACATGCCTAGATTCAGATCATGCTCTAGTGCGAGCGCGTATTTGCTTGCGTCTTACTGGACGTAGGAAAGACGCTGCAAGGAAACCTCTTAGGGTCCTACTTAATGATAGTCAAGCTAAGAGTATATTTCAGGAACAACTAGGAAAACAGTTAGGCAGCCATGTATGTGATGCCCACCCCGAGGCAGCATGGAATGATATCCGAAAAGCTGTGGAAACAGCAGTGATATCTGCTAGTAAGGTAAACCAAAGTTAGGGAGCAACACTGGATCTCAGCAGCATCTATCGCACTGATAGATGCTCGGAAACTCATTCCACCTGGCTCTGAACATAATGAAGAGCGGAGTCAGCTTAAGCGCAAGCTGACAAGAAGTCTACGCAATGATCGCGAACAGTGGTGGGTAGCGAAAGCAAGAGAGATGGAAAAGGCAGCGGCAATAGGTAATAGCAGACAATTGTTCAGACTCGTTAAGGAAACCGGAATTAGGAACCCGACCGTTAGTGAAACAATCTCAGAGAAAGATGGACATATTATTCATTCTCAATCCAGGAGATTGGATCGATGGGCAGAACACTTTAGGGATCAGTTCAACTGGCCTTCAGCCACACTTCGGTTTCCCACGATCTCTAGTCAACCTGAATGGCAAGTTAATGTAAGTCCTCCGTCCCTTTACGAAGTTGAAAAAGCCATAGGAAATCTGAAACGAGGGAGAGCAGCAGGCCCTGACAGGTTTACTCCTGAGATTTTTAAGGATGGTGGTCCAGTATTAGCAATGAGATTAACTGAGGTCTTAGGTAGAATTTGGGAACTGGACGTAATCCCATCTGACTGGTCTCAATCACTGATTGGGCCAGTTTTTAAGAAAGGACAAAAGTTCTCTTGTGACAATCACAAAGGAATCAGTTTGACTAATATAGTGTCTAAAATATTAGCCTCAATAATACTTCGACGCCTAACTAAAGCTCGTGAAGAGCAGACTAGAGAAAACCAGGCTGGTTTTCGACCTGGACGTGGTTGTATAGATCAGATATTCACACTACGTCAGGTTCTAGAACACAGACACACATTCAGACGCCCCACAATGGTAGTATTTCTCGACCTTAAGGCGGCATTCGACTCTGTTGATCGTGAGGTTCTATGGCAGTGTTTGTCACTGAAAGGAGTACCAAAGAAGTACATTAACCTTATAAAGGCTCTCTACTCGAACACAACTGGTAGAGTGAGAGCTTATGGCGAACTGTCATCAGAATTGATCACCTCAAGTGGTGTTCGTCAGGGCTGTCCACTCTCCCCATTCTTGTTCAACTTTGTGGTCGACGTACTTTTAGAGATAACACTCTCCTCATCTAAATTTACAGGGGTTGAACTTCTACCAGGAGGTTCACTTGTTGACTTAGAATATGCTGATGACATAGTTTTATTTGGTGAAGACGCTGACAAAATGCAGAGTCTTCTGACCACTCTAAGCAACAATGCAAGCATGTTCGGGATGCGATTCTCTCCCTCGAAATGCAAAATGTTGCTTCAGGATTGGGTTACATCGACACCCGAACTAGTGATAGGGAGTGAAGTAGTTGAGTGTGTCGACCGCTTCACTTATCTTGGAAGTCTCATCAGCCCTTGTGGTTTAGTGTGTGACGAAATCTCAGCACGGATACAGAAGGCTCGACTAGCTTTTGCCAACTTGCGTCATTTATGGCGTAGGCGAGATATCCGTCTATCAACCAAAGGACGTGTTTACTGCGCAGCAGTTCGTTCCGTCCTACTTTATGGCAGTGAAACATGGCCGGTAAGAGTAGAGGATATCCGTAGGTTACTAGTATTTGATCATAGGTGTCTTCGAAACATTGCTCGTATATCATGGGACCATCGAGTAAGTAACACAGTTGTTAGGAAACGGGTACTAGGTAAGGATGGCAAATCAATTGATGAAGTAGTGAAACTTCATCAGTTGAGATGGCTGGGACACGTGTTACGTATGCCCAACGACCGACTGCCTCGACGTGCTATGTTCAGTGGTATAGGAGTAGGTTGGAAGAAAGCTAGGGGCGGCCAAACCAAAACATGGCACAAGTCCATGAAGTCACTGACAAGTGAACTGAGTCATGTTGGTAGGTGTAGACTACCTGGTTGGGGACCGCGAGATGATAGTAACCGATGGTTAGAGACCCTGAATGACATGGCTCAAAATCGTTTGCAATGGCGCAGGTGCATCCACTCTTTGTGTTCTCCCAAATTTTAATCTTCTGAATTCTTCATGTCCCTTTTTTCCTCTTTCCAAATTTCTTTCACTGGATTATACTCTTTAAATAACATCTCCAAACCCTAATCTTCCCGATTACCTCTACCACTACGGGATTTGAATCGACAAGTGCATCTCTGTGCTAATGTGGTGTGGCAACTCGAACTGATGTACGTACGTACGAAGTTCTACGTTGTTACTGACTGACTGACTGACTGACTGACTGATATCAATTTAAACAACAATCTCCAAAATCCTGTATTGATAGTCTACTTGATAATTGAAATTCATTTTGTCAAAGCCGTTCTAGGAAGTTGCATTAGGCAACATTTTTCTGAAGACACCAAATTATACATGTAACTAGAATTGGCTAGTTTCTGTCCTGCCCTATATGTATGAAGTCCGTTTAATGGGATATTTTGTTTACTGTGTAAATTAGAAATCCACTATTACTGATAAGCAGCTGGTCTACCCGTACATTGAGTTGTCAAAGGTTATTTATGTAGCAAAGTACTTTTACAGTGTATTATACCTAAGACGTCATGCTTCAGTGTTTAATGTTGATCGAAATCCATCGATCACGTTGCAATATGATCAACATCCTAAATAGTTTGACATCCCGTGCACTTCCTTATTTTAGGCGGTTGGAAGCAATCAACATAAAACACTGCTCCAGACATCTTCCTGATGGGTGTCTTACAACAAGGACCATTCGACTTGTATTTTGAGACCACGTAACTGCTGGAGTATTCAAGCTTTATCTAGCACTGCAATAGTTCACGCAAGGTCCAGTCACTTGGACCAGTGATCGTATTGCAGGTTGGTCAACCAGACATACAAGAAATGAGCATGCCTTAAACGTCATTCTTGACATGAATAGCCTAGTGTCGACTTTGAAACTTGGTTATCTATGTTCGAATGCCTCAAATAGTATCCAACCTATAAACATAAGATGTTTTTAAGGAGACCCTTTCCCCTGAGATTTCAGATAATTACAAACAGAGGATTTAGTCCTACTACATCCACAAATTCATAAGGTAAGTGCAAGGGCATTATTATTTTATAAGTATGAATCACAGAAGAATCGCGTGTCCATAAACTGATATAAAATGTGGTGAATCTTAAAAGTGAAGCCATCACGACAATTGTACATGTACATACTCGGAACCTACATCTGCACAAAGGACTTTTGGCTCGAGATGTTACATTCACTAAAATAGCTTGCAATGATCTACCATGACTCATTACTAAGTCAAAGTACGCTAACTGGATGAGTTGGATTGCGTCTAAACGAAATCGATCAAAGGACAAGAAACGAATAAATACACCAAGTTTTCGAGATTACAACCCCGGATGCTGTTTACATCATTAGCAGTTTAATCATTATGAAATCAGTGAACTCAAAGTATTATCGTAATTATATCTCATGTGAAAGTGTAGTCCGAAGGCTTCGATAAGATTTTGGAATATTTGACGTAAGTCACTGTGACTACAGAAAAAACCAAATTCATGAAACATCAAATAATGAGCAAAGTGAGCAGAATACGTATACCTACGTGTAATCTCTGAAACATTTAGGCTCGGAGATGCTGACTTAACTTCATATTTAAATCAAGTGTTCCTATCAAGACGCCTACGTTTTACAAACTTCTAGTATCGATGTTCAAGCAGAAACACAACAGATTCCCAATATTTACAATCGTGCTGTTTACTGAAGAAATGGTTTACCCCACCTCCACATAGAAAAAATAATACGCAAAACCAACAATCTTATTTTCAAAGATCAAAATTTATCGATGGATGGTGGTAGAGAAAAGCTAAAAGATAATCGCCAGTCAATTTGAGGTTGCAATGTAAAAAGGTACAGACTGGTGAGAGAAACAAAGTCATGTTTAATTACACAGTGGTGGTGCGTGTGTAAATGCACTTCAAAAGGCTAAGCGAAAATCTAAACAAACACATGATGTCCTGTCATTGTTGAGACACAGTCCGAAAATGAAAGAGCATTTATGCAGAATACTAGGAGGAAGATCATCTACACTGCATACGATTATGAACATTTTGTGGAAAGATAAACCTAATAACTGTAAGAAAGCACATTTTAACTCAAAATAGTTAGCTTTTGGAAAAGGCAACGTATGTAAAAGGACACCATACGATCTTGGTGAAATATCATAAATCCGCAAATATTAACTTGCTCTTGCCTTATTGTGGTTTTGACTACGTCTAGAGGTACCGTTGTTCTGTTTTGATGGTTGGTCGTCATTAAAATTATTTGCGCCCAAATTATCATTCTTAATGGCTTTATTGTCAGCTTGTGGATTTCCATGATCACCAGTTGACATTACACCTTAAAAAATAGGAAAGATAAACATGTGATATTTAAGAACACAAGACAATCAGACACAAACTGGAATATCAAAAAAACTTAGCACCACTACATGAGTACGATTATCATATAATTCCGTATGGGGTTGGCAAAATACATTTTCATGACACGACAATGAAGCAACGAAAATATCTTGTCATAGCGTCTAATAGCCATGTTAGAAAACTCTCGGTTACGTAAAAAGCCTGTTACTGTCAGAACACTTGTTACTTTACCTTCAACGATTTCTTGGGATGAAATGTTTTAAAAAATTAAACCAAAGTCCTCAAATTGTGTGCAGCCATCTAAACAACAATTCTCAGCACTGAATGAAATTCGTCAGAATTTGTTGTGCCCTAGAATTATCTGAGGTGTTTCTCTACGCTTCTAGATATTTATTTTGAAACAGAACTAAAGCTAAATCGAATGCCTAGGATTTTCGTGTACTTTAATCGACACACATAATGAAGATTTTCAAAACACTATTTATACAAATCTCAAGAAATCTAACTGTAATATAATGTAAACATAAGTATTTAATAATGAACATCAGTGAAATTAAATATACCGTTAGAATAACAAGAATACGAATCATTGACTGATGATTGACGATTTTTCATATTACTATTGGGTACATCTGACGGGTGGGTATTTTTGCCACGCAGGTGTTGCCCATGAGCATTAGGCGGATGAGATACTTCTTTATCATCCAAAGATTGCTCAGGAACAAAGCTCTCAGGTTGTCGACGACCGCGACCCACAGTTCGATTCCTCCTGAGAAACAGATTTGGTTTCAAAGAATAAGAAATGTCTATATATAATATGACGAAAAACCTTAGCCATACTCGATATAAAGCCTGGGACATATGTCCAGCAACCCAAGTTCCGAAATAACATCAACAAATCGAGGTGAAATTAATCTATTATATGCTATAAGAGTTAAGGTACTATTACTATTTATGATAAAGACTACTACTGGCGGATAGAGTTCTAAAAAGGGATAAATTCAGAAAACGAGTATGAATAAAATATTGAAGCCAAAAACTTAGGAAAAGATAAGTCAGTCAGTCAGCTACAACGTAGGACCAGGCACATTTATGCATCGGTCCAAGTTGCCATACCTCACTAGCGCAGCAAGATGAACACCTGATTCATAAAAGTAGTTAATTCAGAGGTGGTAATATATAAAACAAAGATTGCAATAAGGATATAATACAGGAAGAAAGAATTAGTTCGTAGAAAGATATGAAGCGATTTTAATCTCATAGTTTAAGGGAAGATAGAGAGTCTACATACCTTCGCTATTGTGATCGATTCTGAGCCATGTCACCAAGAGTCTCCAACCATTGGTTACGAAAGTCACGCGGACCCCAACCAAGTAGTCTGCATCTACCAACATGGCTCACACCACAAGTTAGTGACTTCAAAAACTGATGCCACGTTTTGGTTTGACCGTTCCTAACTTTTTTCCAACAATCCTCAACACTAGTCAGTATTGCGCATCATGGTAATCGGTGTTCAGGCGTATGTAACATGTGGTCCAACCATCTCAGTCGATGAATATTCACAACGTCATCAACTGATTTACCATCATTCCCTAATACCCTGCGTCTAACCTCACTATTACTTATCCGGTGATTCCAGCAGACGCCAGCAATATTTCTAAGGCATCTGTGGTCAAATACTAGTAGCTTACGAGTGTCTTCTACTCTTAATGGCCATGTTTCGGACTGCCGCGCAGTATACTCGTCCTTTTATTGATAGACGGATATCTCGCCTTCGCCATAGGTGACGTAAGTTGGCAAAAGCCAAGCGAGCTTTTCGAATCTGTGCTGAGATTTCGTCAGACACCAACCCATTAGGGCTGATCAAACTTCCAAGATAAGTGAAGTTGTCAACGCGTTCAACTACTTCACTCCCTATCCTTAGTTCAGGTGTTGACGCAGACCAGTCCCGCAGCAACAACTTGCATTTAGAGGGAGAGAAGCGCATCCCAAACATTCTGGTATTGTTGCTCAGTGCTACCAAAAGACTTTGCAATTTATCAGCGTCTTCACCAAACAGGACTATATCATCTGCGTATTCTAAATCGATAAGTAAACCTCCTGGTAGGAGATCAACGCCCGAAAATCCAGTCGACGACAGCGTTATTTCCATCAGTAAGTTAAACAAGAATGGAAATAGTGGACAGTCTTGACAGACACCATTTGAGGTTGTAAAATCAGATAACAGTTCGCTATAAGCTTTCACTCGATTAGTGGTGTTCGAGTAAAGAGCCTTTACAAGGTTTATGTACTTCTGAGGTACACCATTCAACGAGAGACACTGCCACAGAATCTCTCGGTCTACAGAGTCAAATACTGCTTTCAAGTCAAGAAAGACCACCATTGTCGGACGCCGATAAGCATGCCTATGTTCTAGAACCTGACGAATGGTGAATATGTGGTCGATGCAGCCACGATCGGGTCTGAAGCCAGCTTGATTCTCTCGTGTTTGCAGTGCACGAGTCTTAGTTAGGCGTCTGATAATTATCAAGGCTAGTATTTTAGATATTATATATTAGTGAAACTAATCCCTCTATGAGGGTGTCGTCTTTGTCCGAAGTAGTCTGACTTACACTTGACTTATTAATTCCAGTGGGATAGTAAAAGATAAATGAATGTATCTGCACCATTGTGATCGTACCTGAGGCATTTTAGCCAATGTTTCCGGTCACTGACCACGCACATCTCAACCAAGTAGTCTGCATCCACTGACAAAGTTTGGACTTGAACTAATTACATTATATCACATGATAACAAACATGCATAAATAAGTTCTTAATCTAAAGATGCTTTACACGAGTCTTTGTTAATTATAGCTTATGAAATCAGACAAGGAGTCTTTGGGTTCGTATTTAAAACAGTGAAAAAAACATGTAGGTTCTACGTTCAAAAGTACTGCCGACGAGAAATTATGACTTAAGATTACTTAGTAAATGTGATTTATTCGAACTATATTGATAGCTGTGAAAATCATGGTGAAACAAAAAGGTCTTATGTAAAGTAGGCTATATTTAACACAAATTGTATACTCCAATGTGTGTGAACTACCTTATTTATGCCAACTTTTAATTGATAAAGACTACTGAGAAAAGTGTATAGGGTTGCTGCCGGTCCCAAGCCCGGGTAAAGGAGGAGGGTTGGGCATGGGGTTAGCGCCCCCATCCCGTAGAAAACTAACTCGCTAAAAAAACGCTTACCAGAAAAAATAATCCAAACCATTTTAACTCTGCCCTGGGGGTTAGAAGGTCTTCATTTAGAAGAATTATGACGCTTCATGGTGAAAGCCGAGTTCCTTCGGAAGCCACGAGGCCGATGCCCCTTCTAACAACCAGAGCAAAATTTTTTATAGGTACATGGAACGTTCGAACAATGTGGGAAACCGGGAAGACCAGTCAAATATCAATGGAAATGAGGAGATACAACTTAGCAGTACTGGGAATCAGCGAAACCCACTGGACCCAAGCTGGACAGAAAAGGCTAGCTACGGGAGAGATGCTGTTATACTCCGGTCATGAAGAGGACAATGCTCCACACACTCAGGGAGTCTCTCTTGTGCTGTCCAAAGTAGCACGAAATGCACTTGTAGGATGGGAATCTCACGGATCCAGAATCATCAAAGCATCATTCAAAACAAAGAAGGAGGGGATCTTAATGAATATTATCCAATGTTATGCACCCACCAATGATAGCAACGACGAAATTAAAGATCAGTTCTACGAGCGGCTGCAGTCAATCATTGAGAAATGCCCAAGAAAGGACCTAACTATTCTGATGGGAGATCTAAATGCCAAAGTCGGAATAGACAACACTGGATATGAAGATATTATGGGACGACATGGACTGGGAGAAAGAAACGAAAATGGAGAAAGATTTGCAAATCTATGTGCATTCAACAAATTGGTCATAGGAGGCACAATATTTCCACACAAGCGTATACACAATGCTACATGGATCTCACCGGACCACACTACAGAGAACCAGATAGATCATATTTGCATCAGCAAAAAATTCCGAAGGACAATGGAAGATGTGAGAACCAGGAGAGGTGCTGACGTAGCTTCAGATCACCACCTAGTTGTAGCCAATTTGAAACTGAAGCTAAAAAAGAACTGGACAAGTGGACAAACAGCAATACGAAGGTTGAATACAACCTTCCTTTGAGATACTGACAAACTCAATGAAACCAAGATACCTATCAACAACAGGCTTCAAGCCCTACACGATCTACTGAAAGAAGAAACTACTATGGAGGACAACTGGAAAGGCATCAAGGAAGCATTAACTTCAACGTGTCAAGAGGTTCTCGGTCTAAAGAAATACCATAATAAGGAATGGATCTCTATAGAAACACTGGACAAGATCAAAGAAAGGAAGAACAAGAAGGCAGCAGTTAACAACAGATGAGGTATGGCAACCTGGACCGATGCACATATGTGCCTGGTCCTACGTTGTAGCTGACTGACTGACTGAGTTAACAACAGCCGAACAAGAACAGAGAAAGTCCAAGCACAAGCTGAATACATAGAAGCAAACAAACAAGTGAAGAGGAGCATTAGAGCTGACAAGAAGAAATACGTGGAAGAACTAGAAACGACGGCAGAAAAAGCTGCTAGAGAAGGAAATATGAAACAGCTTTACGATACAACGAAGAAACTATCAGGGAAATACAGTAAACCAGAGAGGCCGGTCAAAGACAAAGAAGGCAGGAAAATCACCGAAGTTCAACAACAGGGTAACAGATGGGTAGAATACTTCAAGGAACTCCTGAATAGGCCGGCTCCAATGAATCCACCGGACATCGAAGCAGCACACATAGATCCTCCTATAGATGTCAATCCACCAACTACGGAAGAAATTAGAATGGCCGTCAGACAAAGCAAGAACGGGAAAGCAGCAGGACCCGACAACATACCAGCTGAAGCACTGAAATCAGACATCGAAGCAACCACAAGCATGCTTTATCTTCTATTCAAAAAGATTTGGGAGGAGGAACAAGTGCCGATGGACTGGAAAGAAGGACACCTCGTCAAGATTCCAAAGAAAGGAGATCTGAGCAAATGTGAAAACTACAGAGGCATAACACTACTGTCAATACCAGGGAAAGTCTTCAACAGATTGTTGCTGAACCGGATGAAGGATGCAGTAGACGCCCAACTTCGAGATCAACAAGCTGGATTCCGTAAGGATCGGTCGTGCACAGACCAAATTGCAACACTACGGATCATCGTCGAACAATCAGTTGAGTGGAACTCATCACTATACATCAACTTCATTGATTATGAAAAGGCATTCGACAGTGTAGATAGGAGGACATTATGGAAACTTCTTCGACACTACGGAGTTCCTGAGAAGATTGTCAATATTATCCGGAACTCATACGACGGACTACAGTGCAAAGTAGTGCATGGAGGACAGCTGACAGATGCATTCCAAGTAAGGACCGGAGTCAGACAAGGGTGTTTACTCTCTCCCTTCCTCTTTCTTCTGGTGGTCGACTGGATTATGAAGACCTCGACATCTGAAGGAAAACACGGAATACAATGGACAGCTCAAAATCAATTAGACGATTTGGACTTCGCAGATGACCTAGCCCTCCTATCACGTACACACGAACAGATGCAGATGAAGACAGCCAGTGTAGCAGCAGTCTCTGCATCAGTAGGCCTCAGCATACACAAAGGGAAAACCAAAGTCCTCAAATTCAAAGCGGAAAACAGCAATCCAATCACACTTGATGGCGAAACTCTGGAAGATGTAGAGTCCTTCACATACCTGGGAAGCATCATCGATGAACAAGGAGGATCCGATGCAGACGTAAAGGTGAGGATCGGCAAAGCAAGGGTCGCATTCCTACAATTGAAGAACATATGGAACTCAAAACAACTTTCAACCAATATCAAAGTGAGAATCTTCAATACGAACGTCAAGGCAGTTCTACTGTATGGAGCTGAAACTTGGAGAACTACAACAACCACAATCAAGAAAGTACAAATATTTATAAATAGCTGTCTACGCAAGATACTCAACATCCATTGGCCGGATACCATCAGCAATAGCCTTCTGTGGGAGAGAACAAACCAACTTCCAGCTGAAGAAGAAATTAGGAAAAGACGATGGAAATGGATAGGACATACATTACGCAAATCGTCAAACTGCATCACGAGGCAAGCCCTAACTTGGAATCCTGAAGGGAAGCGAAAAAGAGGAAGGCCAAAGAACACATTGCGTCGGATAATAGAAGCAGATATGAAAACGATGAATTACAACTGGACGGAGCTAGAAAGGATTGCTTGGGACAGGGTTGGATGGAGAATGCTGGTGAGCGGCCTATGCTCCTTCACGAGGACTAACAGGCGTAAGTAAGTAAGTAAGTTGGTTCAGTTATGTCTACTAGAGTACGTTTTAAAAAGATTTGGTAATTTATGTTGCATAGACGACACTCAATACTATTATTTTTATAGAAGTCTTTGTATTCATCCAGATTTTCGAAAGGTGGTAGTCTTTTCCTTCAGGAAGACTACGGAATTTCTGTGATTCCATATAAATAAATGAGAATTAAAATAACTTCATTTTCCATAATCCATTTGTTGTAATAATGTGGTGTATTTTTTTAACTGAATTGGATAAAGTACTTCGATCGACATGTTTGATCTAGTTAGTGAGAATACTTTTGTAGAGAACTTTGATGGCTTTAGTATTTGAATCTGTAAAGCTAATAGGGTAGAAAAGTTATTGTTCGCAAGAAACAGGCATTTATCTGAGCATAGCTGTAACAGACGGTCGCCATTATCTGTTCTTTGAGCCACAACACCATAAGATCCACCCAGGTGTCTTTCCCTATCACTTAGTTTACCTACTTGAACATTGAAGTCACCAGCCACTATTACTACATCAGAGCGCTTAGCTTTTCGGAGAAGAAATTAGGAAAAGACGATGGAAATGGATAGGACATACATTACGCAAATCGTCAAACTGCATCACGAGGCAAGCCCTAACTTGGAATCCTGAAGGGAAGCGAAAAAGAGGAAGGCCAAAGAACACATTGCGTCGGATAATAGAAGCAGATATGAAAACGATGAATTACAACTGGACGGAGCTAGAAAGGATTGCCCAGGACAGGGTTGGATGGAGAATGCTGGTGAGCGGCCTATGCTCCTTCACGAGGAGTAACAGGCGTAAGTAAGTAAGTAAGTAACTGAGAAAAGTGTACATTATAGATTGAAAAAGTAATAAAAGTAACTGGATTTTAAGGGGGTTCACTATTCAAAAGTGCAACTGACAGGATTGTCAAATATAAAAAATATGAGTCTGTATAATCTATGAAAGTACAATCTTCTACTAAGCTAATAAAGACGAAATACAGTCACGAGAGTAAATACTTGATTGGAATCAAAGTATGGAAATAAAGAATACCATTATTCATGAAGTTCGGTCATAAACCAGAAGAAACTTAAAATATAGATTAAATTACAAAATTTTTTAAAATAAATACAAACCCGAAATTCCCACCACCTCTACTAGGCCTGCCATTCGAAATGCGAGTAGGTGATACAGAATCCGATTGGTGATTGAGTTGATTGGTTTGACGCAACTGACTGAACAACGATCTTCGGGCTTCCTACAGTAGAGTAAGATTACAAAAAAACGGGGTAGTATACAATTGCGATGAATAACTTAAACAATTCACATGTGACTGGTTTTATGAAATGACGGAAACACTGTTAAAGTAGTAAACAAACAGATAAATAAAGGACAAGATGTTGATTTTGAATGAAAATATTAAGTTGATACAAGAAAATCACATACTTCTAATTCATCTAGTTCATTCCAATTATCTGCTTGGAATTCAAGTAGTAGACGCATTTTCGCAACAGATGAACGTGTACCAACAAGAGAGAAAGCAGGGGATAAGTCGACGATACTACCGGAGTTCTTGTCATCATTCAAATAACCATCCAGATTGACAGAAAGCTTTTCGTTCCCGTTGTCAGTTTCTTCACCGTTTGATGTATCTTCATGAGCATCGCCATCTGTTACAGAACCTCCACGTTCCAAGTCAACACGTACTGGACAATGACTTTGACGTTGAGCCATTAGTCTGCGTTTTCTAGCGAAAGGATCAAGTAGCTTAGCTCGCCGAACACCTGCAGCTTCTGCTAATTTGCGAATATTCATGCCTTTTGATCCGATCAGTCTACTTGCTAATCGTGGTTGGACTGGAATCTCAACTTCAGTGAAATCCAAAAGATTTCTCACTGCGTGACATGCTTCAATAGTCTGAACGACAAAAAAGTGATAGGATAAAACAGATATAAAGCTTATGAAAAAACTGATTAGTTGGAAATTTATTTCAGAAAGTGTCCGGTACTACTGTTAGACTGAACAATCAACGTACAGATGGAGTAAATTAGTGCCGTAGTATTGATATCCACCACATTGTTGATCGAGTAATATTTGTCGAAATTTTCACTAACTCGCACGGCTGATGTTCGTCGGAACAACGCTAGCAAAAAAGCCTAATAATACCCTAAAATATGGTCCAGAGAATATATCATACTACGCTTTTTTCCTTCTCTCTCTCTTTCATATATATATATATATATATATATATATACTTTGAGGCTGGATTTAATAGTGTCAACATTATTGTCCAGACTAACGACGATAAAGCAGTTACTAATCTTCTCAGCACACTCCAGAAGAAAATATAGCAGGTTTAATTACCCTATCTACTGGTTGAGCTGAAGCTCCTTATTCCTAATCAGTATCAGTCCGGGTTGCCATACCACATTAGCACAGAGATGTAGTTGTCGATTCAAATCCCGTAGTGGTAGAGACGGTAAGAGTATGAGCAGTAATCAGAAAGATTAGGGTTTGAAGATGTTATTTAAAGAGTATAATCCAGTGAAATATATTTGGAAAGAGAAAAAAAGACAAGGAGGATGAGTCTACCGACTGATATGTGGATCAAAACTTTTGAGATCAGCATTAAACTACAACGTGCCTAAAATCCTTAGTTCAAAAAATAATACATTTCACTTTAGATTACTTTAACGCTGCAGTTCGGACGGCCGAAAACTGAGATAGACTAATATTAATTACTAAAAATTACCTCAGCTTCTACATGGACTATGCCATCAAAAAGAAGATCCACCGTACGAACTCCAGGGATTCCTCGAGCTTCTTGAATAGTTGCACCACGATGCCCAATAGCGAGACCAATCAAATGTGGCAAAATTCGAAAACGACATTCATAACCAATAATCATCCCACCAGACGCTTGTTTGTCACTGGACACAGTTGCTGGCAAACTTATAGGTTTACAATGAATTGCAGGAGCATCGCCATCTAGTTCACCGCTGTTGGACAATTCCAGATCACCAGTCTCCCCTTTGGATAAGTTTCTTAGCTACAAAAGCAGCAATCATACTCGATCATTATATACAACATTTCATAATCCAGACAAATTAAAACAGCCGTGACATCGTCTTAAGCTGCGAAACAATTTAACACTAAAGATATTTTTTTATATCTTGGTGGAACAATTAACAAAAAACGTACCAAGTGGAATCGAACAGCCAACAAACGAATGTGGCCCAATTCTAAGAAAGTTGCGCGTCGAATTGCTTCAGAAGAACCGGACCAGATATGGAGCAGTACAAGAGGTCCATTGGCTCCAGGTAGACCTGTCAAAAGGATGTTTGGGTCTGTAATCCCTGCTGGACTCAGTGTTCCGGCGATATACGGAACGTTCATCATAGCTGCTTGTGATATCAGAGATGGTGAAGGCCATGTATATGTCGACAGACACAAGGAAGGGCTCATTGATCCATAGTCTGCATGAATTGGTGTATGTCGTCCAGACCCATTTGATCCCTCTTTATCTCCTAGTATCAGTTTTGCAAGCGTCCCTGGGAGAAATGGTTCAGAATCACACTGGATAAGACATGGAGCACTACAAAATTTAGCTAAAGTTGAATGCGATTCTGGATTGGCTGCTCTACACAAAAAATAAAATTAGGTTGACAATCAAAAATTACTGACATTAATTCTGAGGAAACACAGAATATATAAGTCACGTCGTCAAACTAAAAATTACCACTAGAAATTACATGCTTAAGCATCAATTATTTACAGAAACTGAGAAATCAAACAAAAATTCAGCAAATGGTGAACAAAGCTGTTTTAGGGTTTACTTTTTTCACAGGTCCTCCTGTATATTTGTAGCCCACCGCTGTAAAGTATGATCTCTGGAAGTAGAAGTTATATGTATGCTGCTGCTATTTGATTATACATGTCTTTGAAGCACTGCTGGTGTATGATAGTGCCACAAAGTAAGCAATATCCATATATTACGTGAAGTTAAATAGTTTACTTATGTGGTATGCAATTCCGATTACCGCGTGCTTTGGTGTATTACGTTGGTAGTCCTTGAGATGGAACATACGATGTAGCCGTAGCCGAGACAAGCATCAGGCCATAGGCACTATTAGTTTGAGCTGTGTGGTTCACAGTATGTTTTTCCGTTTAGTAATAGAGAGCTAACCCCCGAAAACCTTAAGGATTGAGACTTGAAAATTAACTGACAATATTTCATCACTTTTTCGTTAGCGATAAAGTACGTAGGTCTCTTCGGTTGCCTTGAATTTCTACGAACAATGAATAAAACGTGGCTCTGTCATTTTTTACTGGATTCCAAAAAACATTAATTTGTTTACAGCAAATAGTAATAGATGATTTGTAATTAACTATTTCGAACTTTTTTAGTAACTATAACAACGGATGACACAAATAATACAAAACCATCAATTAACTATTTTTAATTTACCAGAACTTACCTAAATCCTAGATTTTCGTGTAATTCTGTTATATAAACATACCCTTGCAATGTGAAAACCAATCATGAGTGGTCAACTTTATACGGTACGGTTTCAACTAACTACCATCATCAATATGCAACACAATATCATTTTCCGACCTTTATGACCAGACGAAAATTTCAATACATAAAATTGTGGATTGAAAGTCTCGGGTTACTGATTGTCTGTAAATGTCGGATTTATTCTAGGGTTACAGATTATAAACAGCCTTTGGACTAGAATTACATCCATTCAAGTATCAGGTACGTAAAATGTCGGTAAAACAACTTACTTTAATACATTTCTGACGAAGTGAAACCAAAAAATTACACGAATACTTGAATATATTGTTAACTGCATACAAATATAGTACTGCACAGGAGTCATATATCGGGGTGAAAATAGAAATTCTATTCAACATCAATGTTATTGACGTTGTTGAATTCAGTATCGGATTACCGAAGACTGTACTAACTCATTTGCTTAACTTTATCAATCGTAATTCTACTTTGGTCGATAGCATAATTAATCACTACTCCATCGTATCTGTACATTGTTGCACAAACGAAAACGATTCGCATACAAGTCACAAGTAAGTTTATTATCTCCATTTAAAAGTTCCAATAGAATGAAAAGAATTAAAGTAAACAACGAAATAGAGAACTGTGATATTCTACATACAATGAGCACTGCAGGTGAGGACTAAAAATTCCATCTAAATTGCTAGGTAGCTCATAATAATACACTGAACTTACAATCGATACAAGTAAGCTGGAATGCAAATGCTGTGACGATGAAGGATTCCTGGGATTAACAAATTATTCGATTCGACTAAGTTGTCCTTAATGAAGCCTGACATCAAAGTACCCGCTTGAGATCGATCCTCCGTATGATCACACGAAAACTTGCCATTCCATGGAACTCGAATTTCCGTTACCTTGACAAGAGTTGAGCGATATGGCAAGACTACAGAACCAAGTCCAATTAAATGAGGCATGGCATGTGCAGTTGGTTTGTCTTCTACACCAGTGTACTCCTGTAATGGGGCAGCAACCTGGAAGGGAAAGTCGATTGTTTTTAAGGTAACTAACTATATTTTCTTTACAAAATACTAGGCAACAGCATGTAACTGTACAATACAGACACAAACATATTATACAAAGAAATACAAAACTACTGTTTAAACATACGCACCTACTAAATATCATCCAAGATAAGTAAAAACCCTTACCATTAATGCAGACAACGTAGCCGCTAAAGCTATATTACGCAGTCGTTATTAAAGATCATACGCTGCGATTTCAGCCTGACAAGTATATGGAGCAAGCATGATCATTAGCCTAAATAAAACATAAGTCGTATGGCAGCTTACAAACACAGTCAGCACTTGAAAAACATCATAAGTGCGACATTACACTTGAATATGATTGATCAAGTGTTGATGATAGTTAAATGCGATTACAAAATCCAACGTTATAACCGTTAAGGAAACAAGATTCGAATTAATATTCCACTTTCTGCTAGGTTGTCTAGCTAATAACCCAATAAGAATTGCTAGTAATAGCAGTGTTAAAATAAATGTATGCCAAATGATAGCTTTACAATAATGATAATAATCACAAGGATGAGAATGAATATACCTCGACATGTGCGAAGCCACCTTGTATGGTAAGAACTCGACCAGGCCACCACGCCCCAGGTGGACCACTAGACATGGTTTCTACAGAGTCGCTCGTTTCTACATCTGCTGTACTTTTTTTCTTTGCAGTTGAACCAGAATCTAGCCAGACTTCAACAGGATCTCTGAGTGAGAAGTTATGATTTGAATTATGAGACGTTTCCTCATTTTCAGACGAACCAGATTGGACATCCAGCTTGTCGTTGATCGAAAACGCATTTGGGGCCAACTGAAGCTCGGAAAGACCGACTTTAATTGTACAGTGACTATAGTTAGTAAAGGAAAATCGTGATAGAGAAACAGGTTTTAACAAACCACATTTTAAAAAATACTTATAGTTAACAGTAAATTTGATGAACTCGGTCGTAAGCAATGTAGAGACTTGTACGTACATCGGTTCATGTTGGCATACCATATTACAACAGACATACCATAGTAGTATAAGTAGTAAAGACGTTTTGAGAAAATATGGATTCGTGGGGAAAAACCATACAACACAGGAGCTTAGGATATAAGAGAAGACAGAGAATGCAGCTGCGCTATTGAAAAGGATTTTGAGCAATTTCACCAAAAGTATTTAACCACTGGTTACGACAGCAGTGCGAAATACCAGGTAGTCTGGACTTACCTACACAACTCAGTTCAACGAAAAGACTATTTGAGCTGACGTCACGTTTCTAACTGGCCACTCCTAGCTGTTTTCTAACGCATTTCTGCACCATTAAGTATCAACCCTCTATGTACGCGGTGGTTAGACAGATATTACGATTGTTAAGTACCCTGTGTATAACCACAAAGCAAATCCGTTATTCCACGAAAGGGGAGTTACCAATCAATAAAATCGAACGCTCCCTTTGGATTAAGAGAAATGCCCCCAAATGCCCTGGTACGGCCGAGAGTGGGGAGAGTCCGCTCTCCCTCTCGAAATACTCTCACACGGCCACGCGTATACAGCCTCTGCCAGGGAGGTCCTATTCACTGCTTTCTCGTGGCGGGGGTGTTGTTTACGAAAAGCGAATGCCCAGAGCTTTAACCGGATCCCAAACCAATGGTGCACATGGGCTCCAATATCCTGTGGGAACAAATGGCGTATAAGCCAATCGTTGGTCACCGGCTACCATGGGACTGCATCTCCTTACGATGCTCCACTGACTTGTGGATCAGACCTTTAGGTCAAAGGCTCGGGGTGTGGCCCCCTAAGATAACCACCTGCTTCGATCTGGGCACCCGGGCAGTATCACAGACCACACACAAACATGAACTGCCTATAATTATGGAAACTACTTTACTTGCTTTAACTAACAATCAAATGATTGTTGTTATTATTATTATTATTATTATTATTATTATTATTATTATTATTACTGTTATTATTATTTACCACATTATTCAACACTCTTTCATACGTATACAGCGGCTCGCCTTTGGTGGAAATTCGACTGTATCTAAACGTTCTCGAGTCACTGTCCGGTTGAAAACTGTATGTTACCACCGAATACGACTACTGAAGCAGTTTTTCTGAAACCACGTGCACCATTCAAACTGGCTGCCTTCAACGTTCGCACACTTAAGCAGGTCGGACAACAGATAGGACTGGCTATGTCTTTGGAAAGTCTTAATTTCGATGTCTGCTGTCTATCCGAGACCCGTATTCAAGACTCTGATGAAGTACTACAAATTCGCTCTCCATTTGTCGCTTCAAAAAGCTTGTTTTACATGCGTTTATCCGGAGACCCTGTGGCATCTTCGTCTGATCTTGCTGGCGTTAGTGTCGCACTAAGCGCTAGAGCTGAGGCAGCACTAGTCGATTGGATCCCCATTAACAGTCGGTTACGTGCTGATAGATTAGAAAGTTCCATCAAAGTGAGAAGAAATCGGCGTGAGAAAAACGATGTGTCTTTTCGTCATCTCCGCCTATGCCCCGACAGATTGCAGCCCGGATGCAATCAAGGATGAGTTTTACCACCAGTTATCCGTTCTTCTCCAGAAAGTGCGTTCGACAGATATTGTAGTACTAGCCGGAGACTTGAATGCTCAGGTCGGGCGTCTAGGCACAGAAGAGAGTCGTTTAGGTGGCCGATGGGGACTCGTTGGTCGCAGGTCAGATAACAGGGACCGTCTACTGCAACTGTGCACAGATCACAATCTGTTTCTGGCTAGCACTAACTTTCGGCACAGTCATCGCCGATGTGCCCCGTGACGTCCTCCATCTGAACCTCAAGCCTGAACTCGGGTTGATCACATCGCGATCTGAGCCACTGGCAGCGAGAAGTCTGGTGTGAGTGAAATAATCTGCGAGGATGATGGGATGCCAATCACTAACATCCATCGACGTCTTAGACGATGGACAGAATTTTTCGAAGGGCAGTTCGACTGGCCTGCTGCTCCGGCAACATCGGTCAGACTGTCCTGCCCTCCATGGCTGGTGACGACTGATCAACCAAATGAGGCGGAAATTCGCAAGGAACTCCAACTCTTGAAGTGTTACAAATCACCTGACCAGATGACTTACCTCCGGCTCTTTTTAAAGATAGTGGTGACTTTTTGACTAAGGAATTGACGACGTTGTTTACAAAGGTTTGGGAACTAGAGAGTGTACCAACGTCATGGAATGAGTCGATAATTGTCCCTATCTTTAAAAAGGGTTCACGTCGTTCCTGCAACAAATATCGGGGGATAAATCTACTTCCGATTGCGTCCAAACTATTGGCTTCCATCATACTTCGTAGGTTGTTCAAAACCCGAGAAAGATTGACTCGCGAGGAGCAGGCTGGTTTTTGTTCTGGTCGAGGATGTATTGATCATATCTTCACCCTCCGCCAAATGTTAGAACATCGCCATACTTATCAAACGCCAACAATCGTAGTGTTTCTGGACATCAGGGCTGCCTTCGATTCGTTGGATAGGACTGTTCTCTGGGATTGTCTATTGAAGAAGGGTGTGCCTGAGAAGTTTATTAACATCCTAAAAGCCCTATATACAAACACCCCAGGCAGAGTGAGGGCATACAACCACCTCTCCATTGTTCCATCCGAGCAGTGGGGTTAGACAGGGTTGCCCAATCTCACCATTCCTCTTCAACTTTGCCATCGATGACATTCTGGAAACAGCTCTGATGGATGTAAGTAATGGTGGTGTGGATCTGTTGCCTGGAGAAAGACTTCTCGACCTTGAGTATGCTGATGATATTGTCTTACTGTGCGATAATGCCCAAGGCATGCAATCCACACTTAATCAGTTGGCAATCAGTGTCCGTAGGTATGGTATGTGCTTTGCACCTTCGAAGTGCAAAGTACTTCTACAAGACTGGCAGGATTCTAATCCTGTACTCATCCTGGATGGTGAGCAGATAGAAGTAGTCGAGAAGTTCGTGTACCTAGGTAGCTGCATAAGTGCTGGTAGTGGCGTGAGTGATGAGATCAATGCACGTATAGTGAAAGCCAGAGCGGCTTATGTCAATTTGGGCCACCTTTGGCGCCTTCGTGATGTTAATCTGGCTGTAAAAGGTCGGATCTACAACTCGTCGGTGAGAGCAGTTTTGCTCTATGCTTGTGAAACCTAGTCTCTCCGAGTCGAGGATGTTAGACGACTCTCTGTGTTCGATCATCGCTGTCTCCGAAGGATTGCTGACATCCAGCGGCAACACCATGTTAGTAATGCAGAGGTTCGACATCGTGTGTTCGGACACAGAGATGATAATGCAATCGATGTCACCATCTTGAAACACCGACTTCGGTGGCTTGGGCATGCTCTACAAATGTCGTCCCAGAGAATTCCACGTCGTGCATTATTTGCCGACGCTAGGATTGGTTGGAAGAAGCGGAGAGGTGGTCAGTGCGTGACATGGTGTCGTGGTATGAAGGAAAGCTGTAAAGGACTGGCTTGTGTTGGTCCTTCACGAATCCCTGGTTGGGGTCTGAGAGATGGTGCTACACAGTGGCTAGAGACGTTATCAGATATGGCTCAGAATAGAAGCCAGTGGTCATCCTGCTGTAACCTTCTTTTACTTTCTTCATAAAAAGTGGTTGTTTCTCCCTTAACTGAAAGATTTTTTCTGATTGTACCTTTTCGTTCCCTCGTTACTACCACACTACCTTACACCAATCTCTTCGTTATTGTTCTCTTTTTCTTTTGCGCTCCTTAGTTTTTTTTCTACTTCTCTTCGAATTCTCATTGTTTTGTGTGGCGCATATATGCTGGCGCTCTCTTGTACCAATATTTATGTGTTCAAATAAATAAATTATTTAATTAGGAGAAATAACCACGTTTGAGAGTTAGCAGATGTGTCTGTGTTACAGAACATGACAAAGGCCTAATATTTAATCTACAAATCCACGCTTAAGTCGGAAACCGATCTGACTTTTCCGGGTTTGCTTTCTGTGACCCTCAACTAATTATTAGATTATTTGGGGTAAAATTTTAGACACCTACTTGAGTGAACGGAGTCCTGATACAATGCCAAAAGATTCGACCCAACAGTTGTATCTTGATTGATTGAAGAATGCGTGATCTAGAAGCCAGCTTCCTTGGATTGCCTATGACACTTTATCGTGCTTACTTTGTGTTTGCATTCTGTATACAAGCATGTTATGTTATCACACAAAAAAAATTATCTATCTGGCTAATGATCTCGGCTTCAATGTCTAATTATTTGGAGGCCTAAGTCAATAATACGGTTTCTTGAGTACCCTTTAATCGGTCAAACTATATTGTTGTGTTTAGTTATCGACTAATATCTTAATAACGGATTTCGACAATCGGAAACTATGCCCACTTACGTCACATAAAACCTTTGCAACAATTACTTAGTTCTTATGTACGCTCTTACTAACTCAATCGAGACCAGTCAAAGATAACAAAACTAAAATCTGAGAATATGGTTCGAAAAAACAGACCCCATTTTCGATTAAAAGATGAGTTTTGTAGACAGACCTTCAACCTTCATCAAAAAGCAAGGTGCTCGAACGTAGCAATCGTATGAGGTGCAATGATGAGATAAAGTATTCAGTATTTTATAAAATTGCCAGACCGACTGCCAAGCCCATCAACCATACATCAAGGTGTAGTTAAGGCATGTGTTACACAGATCTAGCCGACACATACCTTGGTTGTAATCCTAATTAGCATTGTTAGAAGAGGGGAGGAAGTAGACACCAGCACATGATGCCAATTCACCGAGACATCGAGTGATGACTGAAGCCAAGTCAGCACGAGCTGATTTTAATAATCTTAAGTAGTGGATATAGTTTATGCAATTTAACAGGAAATCATTAAGATTAGTGATCAAAAATAACCTTATTCAAAACGGAAAAAGAAAATTCCTACCGTAATGAAAATCCTGGGTTTGTACAGTGTGATGTGAAGTGCATACAACAGGACTATAACGAATAGTGGTTAGAAGGGTAGTGTATACGCTTATACGTTTATGGCGATAAACGACCACCATTTTGTACTGAAAAGGTTTTATCAACTAGCTTGACCGAACCAACATACTAAGTAATATTTCTACAGATGGAGCTATCAATCAACCATAATCAAGTATGGCAGTTTAGCAGTTAACACCTCTACAAATGAGTAGCAAACTAATCACTTGTTCAGAAAATTATCCTTTGGAAAAGTGCCCGCATGCACTGTTTAAATATTTATTGCTTTTGATAACTACCGTATAAAACCACTTTTTCAATACATTTACAATGAGCTACTTACTTTGCAGTATACCGTATTGTACACACCGTTTCTTCAATGCCAACCAACAGTGCCTGGAACGAAAATTATATTAATTGTTTTTCACTACCGGAATCTTTTGGTGTTCGGATCCAATCTGTTCAACCGGGATAGTCAACTCCATCGCCAACTAACAAACAAACAGATAGGCAACGCAGTGGTCTTCAAGGTTAATTATAGGAATAAAACAAACAAAACGTGAAACCCCTGGAGGGTATTTGCAGAGCCACTGAAACATATACTTTGAAAACAAACATGACTCAGCGACTAATGCTAAGAAAATTCAAAACCGAAGTCTGTCAAGTTTTTCAGTGTTGAGGTGGCATAATTTTGTCTGAAAAACATAAACAAAACGTGCAATTAACATACGTCGTACAAAATAGTTCCAGTTGTCCAGGTCTAAGGATCAAAACGGCATGTTAGGATCAACCGACTTCATTCACTGTCAGCACAACCTGCACTCAAACAGCCTAAGAGTATATTCTCGTACATAAACAACAGAACAAGGATGTATCACTAGATTCCCAAACTAATTAAAGAAGAGAGTGAATCTGAAATGGTGGAGGAGGGTCAGGAAAAGGCAGAGGCTATGGCTGACTATTTCGGGGCAGACATCACTCAGGAACCTCTTCTAGATAAAGAACCTAACCCAAATAATGAGTCAGCAAACCACCTGCTCACCGTAGACTTTGATCAAGACGATTTACTTAAGGCTCTTAGCACTTTAGACATGTAAAAGTCAACAGGAACAGATGAACTACACCCAAATATCTCGAGACGTATTGAACAATATATCTCGGCCTCAGTGACTGTGATATTCAATATGTCACTTGACCAAGGCGTGTTACCTATGGACTGGAAGGATGCAATCGTCACTCCCGTACATAAAGAAGGACCAAGACAACTTTCATCGAACTACAGACCTGTAAGCCTCATCAGTGTTGTATTTAAAATATTTGAAGGAATAGTCAGACAGACCATAACGACAACTGTGGAAAAATATAAGCTGTTAAACAACGAACAACATAGTTTTAGAAAGGGTCTAACTTGTACAACGAACTTACATATAGCGGGAAAATACTGAATGAAAGCGCTAGGCAACGGAAAATCAGTGGATGTTGTCTACATAGACTTCAGTAAGGCATTTGACAAGGTGCAAACAAATAAATTGCTATTGAAGTTAAAAAATCTTGGTACTGCCGGACCTCTTTTTAAATGACTTAAGGATTTCCGAGTAGGTCGTAGAGAGAGTGTAAGAATAAATTCGAAATACTCCACCTGGAGAAGAGTACTTAATGGGGTACCTCAAGGTTCTGTCGTAGATCCTTTACGTTTTATACAGTATGTAGATGATTTCCCAAACTGTTGGTGGATGCGTTCTACCAACCCATTTGCTTGTGGATGATACGTGGTCTTTCGGAAGCGAGTGATTCTTAATAGTGTGGTCAGACAACGGAAAAGTCCGGATTCAAACTGGCGTCCGCGATCTGTAGTGATAGTTTATGGTCAGCCAAACTTGCTACATATCGTTCGACGAAGGTACGAGCCACTGTTTCAACAGTAATGTACTTGATGGGTACTGCTTCTGGCCATCGAGTGAGACGGTCTACGCAGGTCAAAGAATAAAAGTATCCATTAGAATATGGTAAAAGTTCTACCAAATCCAGACGAATATGGTCCAATCGAGCATCAAGAGTTTTAAATGGACCTAAGAGACATTTGCTGTGTCTACTCACCTTAGATTTCTGACAGCTTACACAGGAGCGTTCCCAATTCCTCACGTCTTCATTTATATCAGGCCAGCGAAATCGTTCTGCTATGAGATTGGTGGTTGTATGAACACCTGGATGAGAAGGTTTATCCAACGTATGAAGAC